ATCATTAAACTAGAATCAAACGTAATCTTGCATTATTTTTATCAGTTATGTCTCACCACAATTTATGAACTGATGCTTTTGACGCCAGTCCTAATTATCAGCATCCAATGTAAAGGAAGTGCAATGGACAATGCCAACAAATTTTATACTAAGTGTGAAGGCCAGGCGCAATTGTCTGCATCAGTGTTGATGGTGGAAAACAATATTTTCATTCCTGTGATTCAATGCCATGCTTGGCCATGTGCTTGAAAGGAGTGTTCCAGAAGACACTAGACGCTTATCCCACGTTGTTCCTGAAGGAATGTACGGGTGAGAATGAGGCAAGATAAGAAATTTTGCATTTGATTTTTCAATGAAGGATGAGAAATTGACCGACTGTGTCATGTATCTGCAGCAGGTTTTTACCCAAACACATTTAAAATCGTGTGGGACATAAGAGACCTGGAATAGAGGTACAACAAATCACAAATGGAAAGGGGAAATATAGTTTAGAACTGTTTTAAAATCACTATTTTCTTTTGCACTATATTTACTTCTCCATTGGCCCTTATGTAACATTTGGGAATTTTGACCAATGTATAGTGACATTCCTTGATCTTTAGTTTCAAACCTTTCGGTCAAGCAGATTGCCATATTTAAAACTTTCTACATGCTTCATAAATAATCATTAAGCTGTGGATGACTATAATTCTGCAAGTTGTATGAAACACTTTGTGCGCAGCATCATGTATAGCTCTGAGAGTTTGGCTTGTTACTTCTGTATGTTATGCAGTATCTGTCAATTCAGTTTGAAAGTTATCCTCCATTTCAATGGACCTGAAGCAAATTGATTAAAAATAATTTGCTTCTCCTTTTCAGCAAGCTGTTTGCTTAGTTTTATGGCTCTATTATATGTAAGTTCATAATTTGTAGTAACCTTGGCTGATCATGTTGGCAAATGTGGCAGGTGATTTGTGTTCACAAGATCCCAAAACAGTAAATGACCATTTATTCTTTGTTTCAAGGGTGGAAAAAAATACCTGCAGTCATTTTGATTAGAGTCACCAAACATTTTAAAAAAAACATAATGAGACTGCACCAGGGAATGAAAGAAAGTATAATGGAATTCCACCTATGGTGGTTCTGGTTCACTCAATTGTTGAACGGGTGTAAAATTATTCTTGCCATTCCCTCGTTAATTAAAAATAATACCAGAGGGCAAACTCCTGCTGAAAGAGCCTGTGCTTTGGCGTTTGTCACTTTCTATGAACAGTTGTATATGCAGCCAAAATTATGGAATGTAATCTATAGCCTTTGTGTTTATGGATGTTTAAAGCCCATTAAATTGAGGATCGCCGTTTTTAAAATACTACCTGGATCTAGGTGGTACATAGTTGCGTGTTACGATATTGATTGATGCATTCCACCTTAAGAGTTTTTTCACTTCACTTTATGCATGAATGGTTGTTGTAGTTTAATACTTGCCTTTGGCTGTATTTTAATTGCTTGATGTGTTTTTCTTTGCGAATTTTACCAAGGTACAAATTATTTACTTCAGAGACTAATAGATTTAGTTAGATAAAGTTATACATTAGCTGTAGAGCAGATTAAGTTTTTTTAACCTACAAATAATGAATTTCAGAGTACAGAATGTAGAGCTTTATTGCTTCAGCTGAAAACAAGCTCCCAAATCTTGGCAGGCAGTCACAACAATTGTTACAAGAGCCAACTGTATCATTTATTGAAACAGCAGGTCATCAGAGCCAATGGTTTGTGAGCACAGTGTTCACAAAGGAATTTTTAATGAAATTAGCATTAATTAATTCACCTAGACAGACTCCAGATTCCTCCCATTTTGTTCTAAGATCGTGTCAGTACTGTTGCCTCTACCATTCTGTCTAGAAGTGTGTTCCATGGGTTATTCCTTGCATGAAAAAGAATCTCTGGATAACAGACTTTATTTTTCTTTTCAGTTATTTTTCTTATTAATTGCTGGAAGTTTCCTTTTCAAACTGAAATGCTCTGGTGTTTCTCTAGCTATTAGCTATAGCCTTGGTGAGAAATCAGCTTCTGGTTGGTGTTTGCACTGCTTGTATCTTCGTTATAAGTCACATTTTGCAATTCTGTGGCACAGTGACTGAAGTCAGTTTCTTGTGGCAAATTTCAAGTTAAAATGTTTGGACAGTAGTCTTTTCAAGCTTTGATAAAACATGCAAGTAGTTTGCCTAGGAAACCTTGGTTTCTATAATTTTGGGATTGACCCTTTTTTTTTGAAAACAAAATGAACTATTTTTGTATTTTTTAAAAAAACTCATTACAAATCTTCAATTGGTTTGGTAAGCTAGTTAGCTTCATATTATAGATGGCTTGATTTGACGCTTGCTTATTTTCAATACTTGAAAATGTAAAATCACGTTTTTTGAAATACAGTCCCTTTTGCTTTAATGCGATAGTTGTGCTTTTGTACGACCTTGCACAATAAAAAATTGCGCAATAAAACTAACAGGGCTTATGGAAAAAATAGGGTTGGGGCAGACCACCAAAAATATTACTCAAAATTGAAACAAATACAGTAGTTAGCCTAACACAAGATAGCACAGTTTAAATATTAAATTCATATCTAATAATGAAATAATACAATAAATTTAACATTTTACCTTGAAAAAATTTGAAGATAACTTGATGGGGGAGGAGGGTGATTTTGAGGTTGCTAAGTTGTCAAAACAAGGGCTGAGAGTCATCGTCATCAACATCATATGTGGTTGCAGGATTGGGATGAACACCAGGTAATCCAGAAGTGAATGGCTGTGTTTCTTGGGGCTTGGCTTCAAAAAGACATCTAGTTTTTGCTGCTGTGCCATTTTTCTTCTCTCACAAAGATGATGTTCATAGGGTGCCAAATATGACCTTATTCCATAAACTGTTATCCTACTGCATTCTGCGTGATGATCATTGTCTTCTAAGAGCTGCAACTGCTTCTCAACTTCCCTCAGGACAGAAGACAAAGGAAGTGGAAAGTCCTTGTGGTGCTGCATCCTGGACTTCATCTTCATCTCCAGCTTCCATTTCCCTTACAGCTGTAGAGAGGTTTTCACAATGTGACTTAAGCAGCTCTTCAACACCCTCACTCTACCCTTTTTCATATCAAACTTGCTTTGCAAGAGCCACACAATATTCTTTGATTCTCAGAACTCTTTTGACGGTTCAAAGCTTTTAAAATCATGCATAAAATCTGGGAGAAGCTTCTGCCAAACTGCATGCAAGCAGTCCTTACTGACATCGCCCTAGGCCTCCCCAGTAACATCAGTAGCATTTTTGATATTAACGCTTTTCCGAAATTGAAGAACACGGTCATTATTATCCCCCTCAGTAGCTCTTAAATGTGTGCCTTAAATAATAAGCTTTAAAAGCTGCTGTTACACCATGGTCCATGGGTTGAAGGAGAGAGGTTGTGTTTGGAGGTAGGACTTTGCTGAGCTTTCTGAAAACATCAATGGTGGGAGGATGGCTGAGCGCATTATCCAGAATGAGAAAAATCTTGAAATCCAATTTTTTTCTTGCAATAGTTTCTAAAAAGTCTTCAAAAACATCAATAATAAAGTCAGGAAAAAATTGCCCTGTCATCCAACCTCCCTTGACTGACCTAAAGTAGGCAACTTGAGTAGACTTAAGGTGACCTTTCAAGGCTCGTGGGTTGGCAGAGTGGTACACTACCACAAGCTTAAGCTTTAAGTCTCCACCGATAGCACGGTCATACGATCCTTTGCAACCTTAAAGCCCTGGATCGTGTGCTTCATTCTTAGAAATGTGGGTTCTTGATGGCATGTGCTTCCGTTTTAAACGTATCTCATCAAAATTGAAAATTTGATCTAAGTTATAGCCTTCCTCAATCAATTTTTTTTCCATTATGGGAGGAAATGTCATCACACGTTCCTTGTCTGCATTGGCAGCTTGCCACATAATTTTACGTTATGAAAAGCATAGGGGTCCTTAAAACCAGCAAACCAACCAGTACTAACACGAAAGGCAGGCCCATTTGCAGGATTTTCAGCTTTTTTTCTTTAGACATTCATAAATTAATAAGGCTTTCTGTTGTATGGTGAGAAAGCTGGTGCCCAGATCGCTTTTTCGTTTGATCTTCTATCCAAGCACTTAGCTGCTTCATCTCCTCAAGTTCCTTTGGCTGTGATCTCTTTGCTAGCACTTGGGCTTGTTCCAGCAATGCAGCTTGCTTTAATTTTTTGGGCATTGTCTCGACTCGTGTGTAACGTAGACCCCTTTTATTCCTATTGCACAAACAATTTCACATGTTCTTTCATTATGTTCAAAATGCTTTATAACATCTAGCTTCTCCAAGTATTATAGCGTTTCTTTTACGTCCACCACCCACAATTTTATCATCAGGACGCTGCTTGTAAACATTCTTGTTACTTTGTCCTCCCATATTTATGGGTAACACAGCAAAATTTGCCAAAAAACCTGAAAATTACAGAGTACCTCTTAAAAAACACTTTTCTACAAAGCATGTGAGTCAACTGAACGTGTGACATCGATGCAGAGTCTCTGGTGTAAACATTGTATTCCTAAGTGTTGGGGATGGAATTGTATAATAGCCAACACACACATCTGAAAGTTCACGTTTTACAAACACCGTTCACCTATTCATCAGTCGTGTCACAACCCATTTGTGTTGACGAAAGACACGTAATAGCAGAAAGGATTGTAGACAAATTGCAGGATGCACCAAATTTACATCATGCTTTTTTACTTTAGGAATAAATCTATTAGCAGTCTCCTGGCTGCAATGAACACCACTACTGAGCCAATACTGAAACTTTTTGAAATGCCAAAAATACAGTGAAAAAGTTGTACTTGATTATGTCATAACTTAATTTTTAAGTGTAACATTGAAATTGGTGAAGCTATGAACTTTTAGACATACTTTGAGACTGTGGTGAATGGGAAGTAAAATACTGTTATTGCCAGTAATTGTATGACATATAATTTTAATTATTTTACAGGCGGGATGCAAGACTACAACTACTTGCAGGGAGACTGTTTTGAAATCACACTGGAACTTACCTGCTGCAAACACCCGATGGCCTCTAACCTTAGTGAGGAATGGGAGAAAAATCGTGATTCTCTGCTAAACCTAATGGAGCAGGTACTTTAAGGGAACATGATGAGAAAAAGACCACATTTAAATTTATATGTAATTCATTTAAAAAGAGATCTTGCACAAAAAATTGGGCAAGGCAATTACAGAGCTGTGGAGGGGCATGCATAGCAGAGAGTGCAAGTACAAAGTACTCCATTGAAGGGGAATGGTGTAACCATAGTTAATGCAACCTGACTGGTAAAGAAAGTAGAAATTAAGGACAGACATGTTTTAAGAAAGATCCAGGTAATAATGAGGTAGAATAAAAAAGTGCACCAGGAGTTAACCGCGTTGATACAGGAGGTCACATTAAATCGAACCTTGAAACAGAAAGTGTAAACAGTTAGCCAAGAAAAGAATTGGACCCAAAGGGAAATAGTCATGTAAATGTAGAGGACATTGCAAAGGTTTAATTATTTAAAAGGAACTGAATAATGTAAAGTTTATACTAAAATGGATAAGTTAATTTAATAAAATGGTTGTAGATATTGAAGACTTATTTATACTGCCTAATGTTGGCAAGTTGCCTGATCCAGGTGGACAGCATCTTGTGGGTTGCTGAAAATTTAGTAATGTCGGAGGTATTGTCGTCATTTCTTTTAATCCTTGTTGGATACTTCTCATGCAAGAGGCCTAGAGGATTGCTGTTATATAACAATTGAGAAGAGAGAGGGGTAATAAAGGTGGAAACTATGGGCTGGGTCAGGCCAGCATCACTGGCTGAGGGCCTATTATAATCTATTATTTAAAGACCAAATTAACTTGCATTTGAAAACCAACATGGATTTATTAATGACAAGTCACTTATGGTTAACTTAATTCAATTAATTCAAATAATGGTGGAGGTAAATAGTGTAGGAATATGTGAGATGAGGCCTTTTGTGAAGCTTTGCATAAAGTGCCATATTGAAAGCTTGTTAAGGAAATGAAAGTCCACAGAATTAAGAACTAGACATGGTATGGAAATAAAATTGACTTCCTGATAGGAAACAAAAGATGGCAATAGATAAATGTTTTTCAAACTGAGGGTTGTTCTCCCAGAGTAAGTTTTGGAGCGAATTCAAAACTTTCAATTTCCAAAAGGAGAACCTCAAAAAAAGCATAGACAAGATGTTGGAGTTGTGGATAGGTGACAGACGAGGTTCAATGTAGAGAAGCATATGGCAATATATTTTGATAGGAAGAATATTGAAAGACTATAAAATAGGGTGTACAGTTCTGAAAGGGGTGCAGGAGCAGAGGGATCTTGATGTCTGTGTACAGATCACTGAATGCGGCAAGGCAGATTGACACATTTAATAAAGCAGAATGTAGCCTATATTTTATTAATAGGAGAATAGAATACAAGAGCAAGGAAGTGATGTTGGACCTGTGTAAGACACTTTGGAATGTGTGTATAGTTCGGGGCACCATATTAGAGGGAGAATGAATGCATTGGAGAGAGTACAGATGTGACTTAAGAGAACGGTTCCAGGGATGGGAAATTCCAAGATAGTTGCTGGGCCCAGAGGCACGGATCTCGGGCAGGCCTACTGCAGACTCTGCATGGACCTCGAGTGAGCCCTGGAATCAGTGTTGCTACACAGGGCGGCACGGTGGCTCACTGGTTAGCACTGCTGCCTCACAGTGCCTGGGCCCTGGGTTCAATTCCACCCTCGGGCGACTGTCTGTGTAGAGTTTGCACATTCTCCCCATGTCTGCGTGGGTTTCCTCCGGGTGCCGGTTTCCTCCCACAGTCCAAAGATGTGCAGGCTAGGTGGATTGGCCATGCTAAATTGCCCTGTAGTCTTCAGGGACATGTAGGTGGGTTATAGTGGGATGGATCTGGGTGGGATGCTCCAAGGGTTGGTGTGGACTTGTTGGGCCAAAAGGCCTGTTTCCACACTGTCGCAATTCTGAGTAATTGGCAGGGACAACGTCAGCAAGGTAGGCCCACCGGGAAAAGATAGCACCTGAACATTGTTGATTGGGCCCAGCACTGGCAGAGGCAATGGGGCATCATGGCAACATCAATACGGCGGGCGCAGTGGTGACATACGTGATTGGTCCGGCACAGTCAGTGGAGAGGCATTGGTAGAGCAAAATAGGCCCAGCAGCAAAGGTGGAGCCTGAGAATCAGCAACTTCGATGTTGGTTGGGTCCTTTGTAAACAGCAGCAAACTGTGGCAGAGGGATGGTGGCTCGGGCATCGTTGATGATGAGCTGACACAGGACTGATGGACTCTCTCCTAAGCAATATCTTTCTTTTTTTTCACCTTCGAAAATTATTCGATATGTGCTGTATTATTGTCTTACTGTAAAATGCAAATGACAAAATCAAAATCAAATTTGAGTTAGGGATATATTGAAGATATTGAAACTGTTCTCGTGTAAAGGAGAAGGCTAAAGGAGGTTTTCAAAACAGTGAGTGGTTTGGCTCAGAGTAGGTGAAGGGAAAGTATTCCTGCTTGGAAAAGCATCTAGTATCAGCGGGCACAAATTTAAAGTAATTTGCAAAAGGAGCAAGTGTAATGTGGGAAACCTTTTCACAAAGCAAATAACTATGGTTATGGAATGCATTGCCTGAAAGCGTGGTTGAGGCAGGTTCAGTTAAGGATTCAAGAGGATATTGGATGTTTATTTGAATAGAAATCATGTGCAAGGGTATGGGGAAATAAAAAGCAGGAAATTGGCACTAGGTAATGATACTCATCTGAAGAGCTGGTGCAGATACAGTGGGCTGAATGGTCTCTTTCTGTAAAATGTTTCTGTGATTTTGAAGTTGATGGTGCAGGGTGCATTATCAAATCTTCAGATAAAGATCGTGGTAAGGATGGTTACCAGGACTTCAGGATACCAGACAAGATGGTAAGTGGCTGGAAGCATAGGATTGCAGACAAAACGTAGATCTGAGAATAAAGGGTATTTCAAAGAGACAGCACAAATATGACTATCTGAATGGTATTCTTCAGTGCTAAGGTTTTGATTCTGTAGTGCCTTTCATCTCCCAGATGCCCCAAAATATTCCTCAAATTAATGAGGCATTCTAATATATTAATGATTGTTACATGTATAGGAATAGCCATACATGCCCTTGATCCTTCATAAACCCATTTTACCTCCATTATTCCATATCTTCTTGCCCTTGCTTTGTCAGTTTCAGCCTGAGCGCTCCAATTGACCCAGTACCCACAGCCTGTATTTGAAGTACGCGATACAAAGATGGGAATGTAATTGACATTACAAACTCTCTTTACTCAATGCCACCTGATAAAAAGAAAAAAAAAGTGAAAACTAATTATTTAGTTCTAGATAATTTTGGATTTTGAAGTATTTTATGCATTTACTGCAGTGTGATATAATCTGTTTAGCTGCTTATCACTTCTATCAAATGAGAATAGTTAGTTAAAAAATAAAATGTTTAATTTGTATTTTGCAGGTTCATATTGGTGTCGCAGGATTTGTCACGGATGCTATTGGCTTGGGGATTTCTCAGGCAACAATTGCAGTTGCTGACATTGATCATAATATTACAACAGGCAAATTTGGTGATTTCCACAGACTGCTTGTACCAGGGACTTACAACATAACAGTTGTTGCACAAGGGTAAGAAAAGTTGAAAGCCAGGCAAATGATTCTCTCCTTTTGATCCATTAATCAAGCTATAATCCAAACAAAGCTAGACTTTTAGTGAGAGACCATTCATTGCCCAACCATAATTCACACTGAAAAGTAATGGAAAGCCACTTTTGTGAACTACTACAGTCTGTGTTGCAGGGATATCTACAACAGTATTAAGGACGGAGCACCAGGATATTGACCTAATGGTAACAAAGGTACAATAATGTATCTCCAAGGCCGGATCAGGAAACTTGATTCCAAATCCTCGTCCATTTTTGTTTGGTTACTGTCATGACCCACCAGATACAGCACTCAGAATCATACCCCAATGTTGTGTGGTGTCACAAATGGGAAACATGTAGTCAAGTTATCAAAATTGCCAACTTATTGTCTGACTAACACCAGTGAAAACACTCACTAGTTTTCTGTACTTAAGTAATATTAATATGAAAGACTTGTTCTTAACCGGTGGCGAAAAGGAAATGGAAATTGCTACCTTGTAACTATATAGCTTAAACTCTGTCCCTTAAACACACCCTTCACAAAAAGACATAAGATATGGTCATTAAGGATATGGCAAACACAAAAAAGTAAGATAGTTTGATAACAGCGATCCAGACCACACAAGTTGAGTTTTTTTTAGTTCCCTCATTTGTTTAGTTCTTTCCTGTTGCCATAAGATTGTTTGCACACTAATGCTGTCTTTCATCTACTAGTTGAGAATTTGCTCCTTTCAGAATCTTTAAAGATAATTTTCTCTTTTTGCTTTCAACAAGAGAATTTGCAAAGCGATGTTAGTGAAAGCCAGTTAGCTATTATTGGAGACTCGACTTCCACACAGGAAAGAGTGATTTTTTGATGCTTTCTCTTTGTAGGCTAGATATTTTCTACACAAACCACATTCCACCTGGTCAGGACTAAATCAAACGGTTGTTGTCAAGCAATTGCCCCCTAGATCAGAGAACATCGGCTGCGTTCTACCTGTTTTAGTGTATTCTCTTTCAGGAAAAAGCCAGCATCAATGTACTCCGGTGAACATTTTCTTTTTAAACTGCAGCCATCTCTTTGTATAGTCTGGAGCTGGAGGAGCACAGTGGGCCAGGCAGCATCAGAGGAGCAGGAAAGTTGACGTTTCGGCTTGGGACCCTTCAGAAAAATTCTAAATTTTTACTAAATTCTTACTAAATTTTTCTGAAGGGTTCCGACCCGAAATGTCAACTTTCCTGTTCCTCTGATGCTGCCTGGCCTGCTGTGCTCTTCCTGCTCCACACTGTTATCTCCGACTCCAGCATCGGCAGTTCTTACTGTCTCTTTGTATAGTCTCCTTGGTTTAAAATCATATCTCCCTTTTTTAATCGACTGTCCAGAAATAAATATATGGTCTTTATGGTTACTTTTTTGGAAGTGGAATAATGCAAGATAATTGAGTCATTAATTTAAAAATTTGAAAAAGAATGCTAGCGGTATTGCTTATATCTTCACAGATATATGCCTGTTACCATCTTCGATATTGAGGTGCTTGAGGGCCCAGCCACACAACTTAATTTCACGCTCCTCCGTTTAGGAGTCGTGGATAATCATACCATTGAAACAACTACCTCCACTGTATTCAGGACACAAAATGTATCAGAAATGGAAGAGGACCCTCAAACCAGACCCATCGAACCTTCAAACTTCAGGCACCATAATTATGCAGATATGGAGATCCTGCTAAGGAAATACTCCACGGACTATCCAACGATCACACATCTGTATACAGTTGGGAAATCAGTGGAGCAAAGGAATTTATATGTCATGGAAATATCAGACAATCCAGGCAAACATGAAATGGGTATAGTTGCAAGAAAATTGTACAAAATTTGATTTAAATGTACCTAGATTGCAAAGCTCAATGAGTACTGTTTTGAAAAAAAAAGTTCTTCCAACAACAAAACCATTGGTAGCAAGTCACAGGCCTATGTGTTTTTTTTTTAAATTAGTTGCCTGCAAATTCAAGTTTAAAAATGGAGTTCCTTATCTGTCTGGTGAAGTGAAGCTGGCTGAAGAATCTTTCCTTGCCTACTATAAAAGTTCAGAATGTTTGTTTTATTTTTAACATTTGTTCTAGTCCAGTCAACAAGCCATACCCCCACTCTGTCTGACATCATACCTATTGGCTTATGTGTTTTAAGTAAGATTGCATTATCCTATTTAGACCTGGAAATGAAAGCTGCTTAGTAATTACATAAAATTATTTTATATTCTAACAGAAGGTGTCAGCATAATCTGACAAGTCCTGTGCCAAGGATAAATGATCATTTCGTGAGGTTTATCTTGTTTTGCTGAATGTACTTTGTCAAGAGAAATTTGATGAAGAGCCCAAGATTATTTTGCACAATTTTTAATTGCATCTGCATAAGTGCTATATTTTGTGCTTAATTACCCACCTGCCCTGCTAACTTGGGTTTTACATGTGCAATTTAGCAGCTATTTGAGGAGAAACTAGGATAGCCTGTCCCCACAGTTGGCTAATACTTCCCAACCAGACTACTTGCTACCATTCATGATTGGGTTGTAATTTTAAAAGTACCCTTTGTGAATGGGTCAAATTTGCACTGTTTTAATAGTGGATTTGCAGTGTTCAGCAAAGATTTTTTTATAGCGAGGATGTTTGTCACATCTGTATATATTTAAAATGTGATCTTAAGAATAAATCATGCAAAGTGCATAAATGCTTTATTTAATTTAGGTGAGCCTGAATTCAAATATATCGGAAATATGCATGGAAATGAGGTTGTAGGCCGAGAGCTCCTCCTGAATCTTATTGAGTACCTTTGTAACAACTTTGGAACTGATCCTGAAGTGACCAGTTTGGTGACTAATACAAGAATCCATATCATGCCTTCCATGAATCCTGATGGATATGAGATGGCAACAGAAGGTGATACTTTGATTTTGAAACAATAGTTCTTGGGGGAGGGTGGGAAAGGAGGAATGTTCAGTTAAATGTATTTTGCCTGAATTTATTAAAACAATCAATCTCTAGTATTTCAGTAATGAGTTCCAACGTCTGACCTACAGTGTTCACCTTTTTTGTTACTTTGCCACGTCCTCCAATAAAGTTTTGTTTTAAAAGAACTGCATATATGTTCATGATACTGTTGATGTTTAATTCTGATTTCGGAATTGGAATAAGACTATTTCCTCCCTAGTTGTTTTCATACAAGTGTTTTTACTAGCTCCCACTTGAGCTTTCTTTACTATTTCTTTTTCTCTCAAGAAAACTATGCCATCTTTCCTTGTCAGGATTTTCAGGTAACACTTTCTGTGGCAAATGATTTTTATTCAAAAGACTCCTGTATCTGTAAAATGTATTTAAGAGCATAGATTATTGAAAGTGGTGAACAACTTTTCAACTCATTTTAATTCTGGTATTATCATGTATAAAATATGACTAGCTTGCGCTTTCAAAACATAAAAACATATCCAAAATATTGAGCACAAATCAGTTGCTGTTAACTTCACATTTCTTGGCAAATCTGGAAACAGCTTTCTGTTCTGGTAATTTTAATATCGTGGTTTCCCATGCCCAGGGAAAGATTAATTTTAACTTTGTTTTCCCAAATGGTCTGAGTTCCAGTAGTCAACCAATAATGTTAGTGCCTTCATTTCAGATTATATTATACTAAAGATGAAATGTGTCTTGCACATCTCTTATAATAAAAATTCTGCTTCAACTTGCAGGGGATATGAATGGTGTGGTTGGTAGAAACAATAGTAACAATTTTGATCTCAATCGCAACTTCCCTGACCAATTCTTTCCAATCCGTGACCCACGACAGCCAGAAACATTAGCTGTGATGCATTGGCTACAAGATATTCCCTTTGTGTTGTCTGCTAATTTACATGGCGGTAGGTACTTGTTTTCTTGTCTGGTGTTGGGAGCATGATTAGTTTCTACCAGATTTATTAGACAATTTATTAGTATACGTCAAAACTCGGGAAAAATTATTGCAATTGTCTTAAAATTGTCCTTGATCACTGGTGGCCCACTCTGCTCTTTTGTCTGTCTTTCTGTTTATTTGGTTCTCTGTCCAAACAGCTCTTGTTTACCACTGAGAAAATAATTCTTAGAATTGATGCTATCAGACTCACCAAACACAAGTGCTGTACTCCTAAACCGCAATGTACATGTGTTCAGGTGATGACTGTTTTAGTTGGTCATAATCTGGTCAAAGAATGGGAGACTGGGCTGGAATGTGGAAGCAACATTAAAATACTGTTAGAAAAGTTGATGAGATGGAAGGTAGAGCCAACAATGTTGAGCTGGAGGAACACAGCAGGCCGGGCAGCCTCAGAAGAGCAGGAAAGTTGACGTTTTAGGTCGGGGCCCTTCTTCAGAATTGGGGTGGGGGGGAAGGAAGCTGGGAAAAAAAAAGGGGGGGGGGGGGGGGGGGCTGGGGAAGGTAGGTGGGATGGTGATAGATGAGTGCAGGAAGGGAGTGGTGGGGATTGGTCAGTGAGGTAGGAGGGGCGGATAGATGGGAGAGAAGATGGACAGGTTGTGTCAGGTCAAGGAGGCGGGCATGAGAGGGAGGGTTGGTCATGGGATGAGGTCAAGGATGGGGAGATTTTTAAAACTGGTGAATTCCATCTCCGATACCTCCCTTTCCGCCTCCATCTCTGGTAACCGCCTCAACTGACATCTATTTCAAGCCCACCGATTCCCACAGCTACCTGGACTACCCCTCCTCTCACTCACCTTCCCGCAAGAATGCGATCCCCTACTCCCAATTCCTCCACCTGTTCTGCATCTGCTCCCAAGATGGACCGTTCCACTCGTGGACATCCCAGGTGTCCTCCTATTTCAAGGTCCACAACTTCTCTGGTGATCAAAAATTTCCTCAAGCACATCGCTTTCATTTCCCACACTTCTGCTCTCAAACCCCCTTGCCCCCACCCCCCCAACAAAAATAAAAACAGAATCCCCCTTGTCCTCGCGTATCACCCCACCAACCTCTGCATCCAGCATCTCATTCTCTGCTACCTATAATCCGACCCCAAGACCAAAGAGATAGGGACGGAGAGGGAACTATCTGCCTTTCGTAGGGACCACTCTCTCCACGCTCCCCACTAACCCCACCACACCCAGCACCTTTTCCTGTGACCACAGGAAGTGCAACGCCTTCCCCCTCCGTCCATTCAAGGCAGAAAGCAAACCTTTCATATCAGACTGGGGTCCACCTATACATCCGTCAACTCTGTCTACTGTGTCCGTTGCTCCCGATGTGGCCGCCTCTACATCGGTGAGACCAAGCGTAGACTCTGAGACTGTTTGTTTCGTAGAGCATCTGCGGTCTGTACGTGACAACAACAACACCTTCTGGTCGCCAATCGTTTTAACTCCCACTCCGTGGGTGACACGTCCGTCCTGGGCCGCCTCCTATGCCACAATGACACCACCTGCAAACTGGAGGAGTAACTCCTCATATTCCGCCTCAGGACTCACCACCCAATGGCCTAAACATGGAATTCACCAGTTTTAAAACGTCCCCACGCCCTGCCTTTATCCCATGTTTAACCTTCGGTCTCATCCCCACCTCCTCGACCTGACACAACTTGTCCATCTTCTCTCCCACTTATCAGCCCCACCACCCCACTGACCAATAACACCCCAACTTCCTACCTGCACTCACCTATCACCATCCCATCTACCTTCCCCAACCCCATCCCTGCTCTCTGTATTTATTTCCCAGCTCCCTTCCCCCTCCCCATTTCTGAAGAAGGGTCCCAACCCGAAACATCAACTTCCCTGCTCCTCTGCTGCCTGGCCTGCTGTGTTCCTCCAACTGCTCAGTGTTGTCTCGGACTCTGACTCTGATATCTCACTTTTGCTACCTCTAACAGATAGAAGGTAGCCTTGATGTATCAATTGTTAGTTTAAAAGACTAGAATTAACTGGGCACCATGACATTTTGATGTATTGAAGGTTAACATAATCAAGCTAATTAACATAAACCTTGATTGTGTATAAGTTTTAAAATCTTATCAAGCTTTGTAAATGTCTGAAAAAGGTAGAACTATAGATAAGAAGCATTTGTGTACAATTTGATCTCACTGAGTCTAGAAAAACAGAGAACGTGAAGAGGAAATGCAGTAATATGTGGTAATACCATTACTTGAAGGTGGAATTCAAGTTTTTTTTTAATGAGAATAGCAGATGGTAGCAATTCAGAATTACTAAATGCTGCTAGATGCGAAAACAAATGTTTCACCCTTTACTTCTAGTTTGATTAAAAATGTTCCATTCCAAAGAAATAATTGGTTTAAGTTTTTGAAAATTGTCTTTTTTTTAGCGTGGAGGTTAGAATAGAGAAAAGTCATTTATCAACACAAGTTCCAGGCTATTATACAACCTGTTTTGTTTTTGCTACGAAACAATACAGTTTGCATAAATATTTATGCAAACTGTATTGTTTTGAGGTTTTAGTTTGAACTAACTGTGATATCAGAAGGAACAATAACGTTTTATGTTCTTTTGTTTTGTAAAGGTTCCCTGGTAGTGAATTACCCTTATGATGATGATGCAGAAGGCATTATTGTATACAGTAAGTCACCGGATGATGCCATTTTCCGGCAATTGGCACTTTCTTTTGCTAAGGTACTCAATTTAATTAGCTTGTTTTTACGTTTGAAAAAGTTGTTTGTGCTTTGAGATTTAATTCTAAAAGCTGAGCAAAAGTTGTACTTAAAGCTTAAAATTACAAACTGTATCTTTGAGAATACACCCATTTATGTAACAATCATGTCATTATATTTAGATAAGTTCTAAGGTTTTCTACTAGATTTGTAGCTCGGATTGTGGATGTTGTGGTTGGTTGGCTCGCCACGCTGGTTCGTTGTTCCGCAGACATTTCATTGCCCTGCTGGGTAACATCAAGTGCAGCCTCTGATGAAGCGCTGTTGTGTTTTCCCATCTGTTATTTAAACTCGGGTGTGCGTTGAGCTGGGTTACTTCCTTCCGGTTTTCCTTTGCAATGGAGTATATAATGGGGTCTAGCTCTACGTGTTTGCGGATGGCTTTCTTAGTGGAGAACCAGGCCTCTAGGAATTCCCGTGCTTATCTCTGCTTCGCCTGCCCCAGGATCCTGCTGTTGTCCCAATCGAACTGGTGGTTTTCCTTGTCTGTGTGGATGGAGATGAGTGAGTATTGGTCGTGTCGTTTTGTTGCCAATTAATGTTCGTGTACCCTTGTGGTTAATTTCCTTCCTGTCTGTCCAACGTGTAACGTTTGTCGCAGTCCTTGCGGGGAATTTTGTATGTGACGTTGGCATTGTTCATAGTGGGTAGTGGGTCTTTGGTTTGGGTTAGCAGTTGATGTGGGTTTGTGTGGTACTCTGATGCCCATTGGTTGTAGGAGTCTTGTGGTCAGTTCAGACAAACAACGAACCATTTTGGTGAGCTAACCAACCACAACATCCACAACTCGAGCTACAAATCTAATCTAAAACCTTAGAGACCTACGGGCAAAGCACACTCAAATTGGCACGAAAATGGGAAAGCTACACCAAATGACAGAGCTCTACACGGATCCCTCAGGAACCAGGTATTACCACGCAGCATGAGATACAAACCCCACCCCCCCCCCATCAATAACTCACAAGCTCGTAGGACAGCAGAACACAATGGCTGCAGGATGGTGAAGGTAATGATCAACAACACACACAACCGGCTCCACAGATATGACAGAGAAATTACGCACCAAAAAACTTTATTCCAAGATACTACCAACCAAGACTGGATGACGGACCTCGAATGAGCTATTGACATCACTCAACAGACCACAAGAATCAAGAAAAGACGGATTCTTCAGGAAAAACTAGCCAAACTAACCCACCAAAATGACAACAGAGCAGTCACCTGGATAAGAAACCTTTCAGACCGGAAACTGACAGACACCGAGAAAGCTGTTCTAATTCGTGGACTCCACTACAACCACAGAGACACCAACAAAACAGAATTCCAAGCCACACTGAAGACCAACGGCATGAATGAAGAAACACAACAAGCCATAAGACAGACAGTGATCCCAACACTCACCAGAAAGTGTGAACTTAACACTCAACACATCAGAAAGGAAGGCCCTAGAAGGACTGAAAAACATCACAATACTACCAGCAGAGAAAGGGCTCATGATGGTAATACTAAACAAACAGGACTACCTCTCCAAAGCACAGACACTACTAGCAGACGAGAACACATACCGGCAAGTGCAGATAGCCTCGATACCACAACTGGGCAACAAGATTCTCAACACACTAAAGAGCCTCAAACAGATCAGACAAATTAATAAAACAGACTACCTAAGAATGAAACATGAAGGAACTAACACCTTCCAATTCTATGGTCTCCCGAAGCTACACAAACGGGAAGTACTCCTCAGACCCATAGTCTCCCTGCCAGGCACTCCATCACATAGATTAGCCAAGGTGTTACAAAGGAAACTGAAGCACCTCATCAGCAAGTCACCCCATTCAATCCACTCAACCCAAGGGTTCCTCAGTTCCATCAAGGTCTTAAGAATAGACAACATCGAGACCGTGGTATCATTTGACGTTACTGCCCTATTCATATCGATAGATGTACCACTAACAAGAGAAACACTGTCAAAACTACTCAAACAAGAACAAGACCCGAGTGACACCATGTCCAGAGACATGCTGAAACTACTGGACCTATGACTCACCACCCACTTCACCTTTAACAGCCAAATATATGAACAGATCAGTGGGACACCCATGGGATCATCTATCTCCGGACTAATAGCTGAAGTGGTGATGCAGAGATTCAAAAGCATGGCCCTTCCGCTATCCAGCCTAAACTATCCACGTGATACATGGACGACACCTTCGTCGTTATTGAACGGACCAAACTAGAGAAGACACACGAACTAATAAACAACACCCTCACCAGGATCAGATTCACCAAGGAAGAGGAAAAAAACAAACAGCTCCCATTCCTAGATGTTATGGTGGAACGCAGGACCAATGGGGAATTCCTAACAAAGGTACACAGGAAAGCCGCCACATTGACCAAGTACTGAATTTCAATAGCCACGACCCTAACACACACACACGAAGTTGCGTGAGAACACTATATTTAAATAGGCAACAACACAATGCAGCAGCACAGAACTATGCCAAAAAAAAGTACTTCTTCCAAGTATTCAAAGACACCGGATAACCGAAAAACTGGGTCAGAAGATGCCTATTACACGAACAACACCAGGAAGATACTGCACACCCTGACGCATTCATCACACTACCGTACATGAAGAACGCATCTGAACTGGGCATCAGAGTAGCACACGACCCCATATCAACCCTACACCAACTGCTAACCCAAACCAAAGACCGGCCACCCACTATGGACAGTACCAATGTCATGTACAAAATTCCCTGCAAGTAGTGCGACAAACATTACATTGGGCAGACAGGAAGGAAATTAACCACAAGGGTACACGAACATCAACTGGCAACAAAAAGACACGACCAATATTCGCTCACTTCCATCCACGCATTTAAGGAAAACCACCAGTTCAATTGGGACAACAGCAGGAGCTTGGTACAAGCGAAGCAGAGACAAGCACGGGAATTCCTAGAGGCCTGGTTCTCCACTAATAAAGCCATCCACAAACATGTAGAGCTAGACCCCGTATACACTCCATTGCAAAGGAAAACCAGAAGTGAGGTAACCCAATTCAACGGACACCCGAGTTTAAATAACAGGCGGGAAAACACAACAGCGCTTCATCGGAGGCTGCACTTGATGATGTTACCCAGCGGGGCAGTGAAACGTCCGCGGAACAATGAACCAGCTCAGGGAACCAACCAACCACAACATTAGATAAGCTCTCCTAGAAATTGAATAATTTTTGTTTTTCTGTCAGATAATCAGAGCCTCAAGGAGGTGTATATTTAATTTGAATTGAAGTTTTTAACCAACCTATTCAACCCTGCACTTCAACTTGAGTATAGCATTAGTTAAACATGCTGATTGCAGATCTCATAGAAACTTGCCATTTACCAAACCAGTTTATAATTTTCTCATTTATTTCCCTTGAATAGAATTGTAATATTTGCCAACCTGTAGTTCTTTGCCACAATTCTTTTGACAAAAGCTCCTTTTATTTGACCCTTTGTGATATTTGCGTAATATCTGTGGACTTTGCATATTTACTTGAATAAAACAAAGCTTTGGCTGTCCTATTTGAGAAATTTTTCAAAGGACAGCTCTTTCATGAAAATACTGCTTTAATACACCTAAATATTTTAAATATTTGAAAGGAAGCATTAATGCATAAGGCCTGTCAACTGTGTATTCCAGTTTTCAGCTGACATTGGTTATAGTAGTGTTTTGAATGCAGTAATGCTTTTGCTTTTTGGAATAAATGACATTCTGTTTTATCTAGAAAGTTGAACTTTTTTTATCCTTTATGAAAGAGTATATTTGGATTTTTTACATAATGTTTTATTAATTCCAATCATCTGGCTAATGAGGGAATGATAAAAGAATTATAGTGGTGGTGTTTTTTTTTTGAGGTTTCTTTTACTTGACTTGACAGTAATTGGTACTTGAAATTCCCCATGGGCTAGACATCTCACTTTGGTGTCTAATTCCATCCATCAACCTAGAGGTTGTTTTATTTGGGGCAAGAATAAACTTTAAGAGAAATTTAATGAAGAAATGAGCTGGTAAGTTTGTGATCCAGTTGCAGTACGTTTAATTAGTTAATCAGTATTATTTTTGTTTAGGAAAACAGTCCAATGTTTGAAGGTCATCCTTGTAAAAATATATATCCGGAAGAATATTTTCCTCAAGGAATCACAAACGGTGCCTATTGGTATAACGTACCAGGTAAGAAGCTTTCATAGAATCATATGGCATGGAAACAGACCCTTTGGTCCAGCTAGTCCACACCGACCATGGTCCCAAGCTAAACTAGTCCGACCTGCCTGCATTTGGCCCATATTCCTCCAAACTTTTCCAAATGTCTTTTAAACGTTGTAACTATTTCCTCTGGCAGTTCATTCCACACACTAATCACACTCTGTTTCTAAGAAAACAGGTGCCCCTTATGTCCTTCTTTAAAATTTTTCTAGTCTCATGTTAAAAATTTACCCTCTAGATTTGACCTCCCCCACCAGAGGAAAAAGACCTTTGCTATTCACCTTATCTATGCCCCTCATGATTTTATAAACAAATGTAAGATCACCCCTCAACCTCCTCCGCTCCAGTGAAAAAGGTTCCAGTCTATTTTTATAACTCGAACCCTCCATTCCCAGCAACATCTTGGTAAATCTTTTCTGAACTCTCTCCAGTTGAATAATATCCTTCCTACAGCAGGGCAATCAGAACTGCACAGTATTCCAGAAGAGGCCTCACCAATGTCCTGTACAGTCCTATACAATCCCAACATGACATCCCATCTCCTATATGAAAGGTCTGAGCTGTGAAGGCACGCGTACTAAATGCCTTCTTAACCACCTTGTCTACCTGTGATACAAATTTCAAAAAATTATGCACCTGAACTCCTAGATCTCTCTATTTTACAACATTACCCAGGACCCTACCATTAATTGTATAAATCCTGTGCCTGTTTGTTTTATCAAAATACAATACCTCTCATTTATCCAAATTAAATTCCATCTGCCACTCCTCAGCCCCATTGACTGAATTGATCAAAATCTCTTTGTAATCTTAGATAACCTTCGCTGTCTGCTATACCACCAATTTTGGTATCATCTGCAAACTTACTAACCATGCCTCCTATATTTTCATACAAACCATTTATATAAATGACAAACTGAATTGGAGATGAAATCCCTCATTTGGCTGCATGGCCTTTTTCTTTGGATCAAGAAATCATTCTATTGTTTTACACATTATTGTATCGATATAGAACCTAATTCACACGTTGTATACATACCGACATGAACACTTTTCTTTTTAATTATTCACAACTTATTGTCTAAGGGTCCAGAGCAAATCCTGTGACTAGTTCCCTTGTGAAGGGCCTACGCCAGGGACAAAAGATCTGTTTCTTAAAATGTTAGTACCTTGGCAGCCACAATGGCATAACTTAAATGATAACACTAATGAAAAAAGAGAGACACTTCATATTTTAAACATATTTTGCAAAATACAACTGTTAACTGACAGATACTTTAATTCAAAATAGTAAACAGTTTAATAAAACCAAATGCATTTAAGTGCCATCAAAATGGACTTGATTGACCAAGGTCAGGAGTCCAAATAATTCCAGAGTTGTTTGCAGACCCTGTTCCACATCCAAAAATTTAAAACTGTTTATTCTCTTTATAAATACTGATGTACTTCCTGTGTATTTTCATAATTGGATTTTATCCAATTACAAACCAGTGACTCAGTTATTTTTCAAGTGCATCAAAGGTTGTGTATTCTATGCTGCTGCTGTCCTCAGGAAGAGGCCGTAAGGTTAATTAAAAGGTTGTGCAACTGTTTTCTGCATGATGTTTAGTTATTTTAATCAACTTGCTTGGATGTGTTTTGACATATCTTTTAGACAGGTGGGATCTGAACCTGGACCTACTGGCCCAGATGTAGGGACTCTGCAGTTACAGCATGAAAGATTTGTATCTGTGTGGGGAGACTCAGTGAATTTCTAATCCATCGCTTTAATCACCTGGCCATGATTAGTCAGCATTCAATTGTCTGATAGCAGATGCAAAGCTAAAAGCATTCATCACCTATTTATCACTTAAGTGTGCCAAAAGAAACTACAGTATGTGAAATTGACTGCGATGGTTCACTCCTGAGGGCGAGGGCCTTCTAGGCCCTTTGATCCTCTACTGCTTTTTTTTGTGGAGGATGCAGAACAAAAAGTTGGATTAGCCTTGAGTATACTTAATAGTCCAGTCTTTACAGCCTTCTGCGGTAAGGAATTCCACACATTCAATAACTTCAGAAGAAATTCCTCCTTGTATGTGTCTTAAGAGGGCAACCACTTATTCTAAGATTGATCCCTCCAGTCCTATACTCTCCCACAAGGGGGAACAAGCTCTCCACAGCTAACCAGTCAAATCACCTAACAATCTTGTAGGTTGAATCTCATTAAATGCCAATAAGTACATGCCCAACCTACTCAACCTCCTCTCATAAGACATCCCTTCATAATTGGGATCTGCCTGATGAGCTTTCTCTGGACTGCCTGCCATATGGATGTAGCTTTTCCTTTAACAAGGGTACAGAAGCTGTTTAGTTTTCCAGCCTTGGTCTGACTACTGCCTTGTATAGTTTTAGCAAGACTTCTCTATTTTTAAACTGCATTCCTTTGTAAAAAATAAGGCCGACATTCCTTTGGCTTCACTGTTGTTTGCTGAGTTCGTGCTAGCATTTTGAGATTTATGCTCCGACTCCCAAATCTTTTGGCTTTCTGCAGTTTTTCTCCATTTAAATAATATTTAGCTCCTTTTATTCTACCTGCCAAAGTTATAACTTTACATTTTCCCACCTTGTATTTCTTCTGAGTTTTTGACCACTTGCCTAACTTACCTAAATTCCTCAGCACTTGCGTTCCCACTTCTGTTTTGTGTCATCCACAAACTTGACTGTAACGCAGTCACTTTACTCGTCCAAATTGCTAATATGTGTCCTAAATAATTGTGTCCCCAGCACTGACCCTTGTGGCTCCCCACTAATTACAGATTGTCATTCTGAAAATTACCCTTCATCCCAACTTCTTGTCTTGGCTAAAAGATTGGCTAACTAATATGTTAATATACTATCTCACACTCTATGTAGTCTATTGTAAGGTACCTTTATCAAATGCATTCTGAAAATCCAAATACATCATGCTTCCCCCTCTCTCTACTCTGCTTGTTACTTGCTGAAAACAATTCTAATAATTGTCAGGCATAATTTCCCCTTCATGAAGCTATGCTGACACTACTTGATCATTACGTATTTCTAAAAACTCTGCTATTACATCTTTTATAGTAGACTGTAACATTTTTTCAAGAGCAGATGTTAAGCTAACTTGCTGAGTTACCTATATTTTTATCTATCTTTGTTTATACATTCCCAGTTTTCTAATGCTCTGGGTTTGTTTTCAGAATATAAGGATTCTAGGAAGATTACTAACACCGACTATATCTATTAATTATTTTACTTCCCTGGGATGCATCCCATCAGGATCTGGGGACATGATTGTCTTTTTAGCCCTGTTGGTTTCTCTACCACATTTTTTGTCTAATGATAGATCATATATTTATCTCCACTCTTTACCCCATTTTGGAGTCATACAGTATGGAAACAGACCCTTCCTTCCAACCAGTCCATGCCAAACATAATCCCAAACTAAACTAGTCCCACTTGCCTGCTCCAAACCTTTCCTATTCATATGTCCATCCAAATCTCTCTCAAACGTTATAACTGTACCCACATCCACAACTTCATCCGGAAGTTCATTCCACACGCGAACTGCCCTCAGTGTAAAAAAAAATTGCCTTGTGTCTTTTTTAAATCTCTCTTCTCTCACCTTAAAAATATACCCCCATTCTCGAAATACCCCATCTTTGGGAAAGACAACTACCATCAACTCTATCTATATTTCTCATTGTAAACTTCTTTCAGGTCACTTCTCAACTTCCCACACTTCAGTGAAAAAAGTTCCAGCCTTTCCTTATAACTCAAACCTTCTGTACCCAGCAACATCCTGGTAAATCTCTTCTGAACCCTCTCCAGCTTGATAATATCCTTCTTGTAACTGGGCGACCAGAACTGGACACAGTATTCCAGAAGAGGCTTCACCAATGTCCTGTTCAACCTCAACGTAATGTCCCAACTCCTATACTCCAAGGACTGAGTGATGAAAGCAAGCATGCCAAATGCTTTTTTAACTATCCTGTCTATATGTGACACAAACTTTAAAGAATTATGTACCTGCACTTCTGGGACCCTATCTTATACAGCACTACCCAAGGCCCAAAGTAAGGCTCACGGGTCTACAGTTCCCTGGTTTCTCCTTACAACCTCCCTTAAACAAAGGTCCAACATTTTAGGCACCCTCCAGTCATCAGGCACCTTACCCGTAGTTATAGATGATGTAAATGTTTTTGCAAGGGGTCTTGTAATTTCCTCTCTTATTTCCCACAATATTCTGAGACCCATTAGATCAGGTCCCAGAGATTTATCCACCTTTTTATTGTCTCTAAGACCTTCTGAACTTCCTTTTCTGTAATGTGAACTGTGTTTTAAAAACATCAAAGTTTATTTCTCTGCATTCTCTAGACTCCACTTCTTTCTCCACAGTAAAAACTGACGGAAAATATTCATTTAGTATCTCTCCCATCTCCTGGGGGTCAACACAAAGACAACCATCTTGATCTTTAACAGGCCCAACCACCCCCCCCCCCCCCCAGTCCCCCTGTTGCTCTTAATGTATTTGTACAATCTCTTTGGATTATCCTTAACCCTATCTGCCAATGATTATTTAGTAATTTTGGAATACTGTTAATGGTTTCTACTGTGGAGTCTGATGCAAAGTATTTATTCAACTCCTGATATTTCCTGGTACCCCATTATTATTTCCCTGGCCTTGTTCTCAGTGACTTGTGTTAATTTTAAATATGCAGGAAGGGCAAAAGGCTAAAGAAGCTCTTACTGTCCATCTTGATCTTACTTGCAAGTTTACTCTCAAACTTTATCTTTTTTTTTGGGTTGTCGTTTTCTTTTTAAAAGCCTGGATATCATCTAGCTTACCACTAATCTTTGCCACATCTATTGCTTTTTCTTTCAATTTGATGCTAGCTTTGATTTCCCTGGTTAGCCATGGTGTAACCCCTCCCTAAAATCAGTGAAATATTTTCATAAATGTCTGCCAATTTTCCTCGACCATCATTGCTACTAAACTTGTTTCCCATTCCGCCTCAGCTTGTTCTGCCTGTACTATTCAAATTTCTTCCCTTCACACTGACTATAATATGGTAAAATTCTTTGTTTTCAAGTGGATAGTTTATTCTGACATTATTTATTAAAACTGTCTCATTGCACGTCACCAGGTTCGATTCCCACCAGTCCCACAGGTTCTGTAAGGGTGCGGTTTACATGTAATAAGTCAAAGCCAGGAGCAAGCTGCGTGTTCCTTGCTGCCTACTGTGACATTCAACAAGACAATGGCTGATCTTTTACTTCGGTTGTACACATCCCCATACCTCTTGCTTCCCTATATATTTTTTTAAAATTGACTTAAATGTGTTCAATCACTGAGCCTTTGCAATTTTCACTGTAGCAAACAGATAATCTGCAGTATTTCCCTTCATTCTAGATAACAATGAGCTTGTTCACTCCTCCTTCTCTCTCCCCCACCTGTCAAACTATGTTAGCCCATAGAACCTTCATTACATCCCTCTAAAGTTTTTTTTTCCCTACCTTGAATGTAGTAAGCAAGAGATATTGATTAGTATTGTTCAGCTTCAAGTCAATAATGAGCTTATGCATTGGTGTAAGTTCTAGAGCTGCATGTTGATGTTGTCTTGAAAATGGGGAAAGACGGCTTGGAACAGCAGTCAACAATAGTGTATTTAGGATGTATATCACCCCACCTGAGGGAAAACAAATTCCCTTGGCCTCTACTAGACTGCTGTGCTGTGACAAAATGCATCTTGGCTCCATTGAAAGGGCTTAATATTCAGTGGTGCATTATAGATAGGATAACCTGTGTCATTGGCTGTAATTAGAAAAACATTTGCAGTGATAACTTGTAATTTAAAAGAAACATTGTTTAAAGGTACAGTTAGATTTTTTTAAAATGTAGACAGATGTTGTATAGCGTATTCATACAGCAGTTAAAGTGGGTTCAGTTTTTTAAAGTAGTTACATCTTCTTTGGTTTAAACAAATATTCCATTCGATGAAGAATTGACTGCAGATGTTGATCGGGACTTCATTCTTTTCAAATTAGTTGTGAAATATTTTGCTTATGAGTCGTTCTTTCTGGAAGCTATTGAGCTGTTTAGTTAAATGATTTACTTTCTTCCCAGGTGGCATGCAAGACTGGAATTATCTTCACACAAACTGCTTTGAAGTTACTATTGAATTGGGCTGTTATAAATTCCCCTTTGCCAAGGATTTGCCCAAGTATTGGAAACAAAATAAAAGGTCTCTCCTTCAGTTTATAAAACAGGTAGGTAGAGTCTGATCACTTTTTTTTTGAATGAATGCATGTGAAGTAATGGTCAGAAGCTGATTAATACTTGTTGCACCCTTCCCTGATGCTGTCGTTAAAATAAATAAAATAAATACACTGTTTTTTTCTCATTTAGAATAATAGAATAGAATTATAGAATTCCCTACAGTGCAGAAAGAGGCATTTGGCCCTTCGGGTCTGCACCAACTCTCCAAAGAATGTCCTATCCCTGTAACCCCATATTTACCTTGGCTAATCTGCCTAGCCTGCATATCCCTGGCACTACAGGGCAATTTACCACTGGCAGTCCACCTAATCTGCTCATCTTTGGACTGTGGGGGGAAACTGAAGCACCTGGTGGAAACACAAGCAGACACGGAGAACATGTACATTTTATGATTGTAGGATGTCAAAAAGTGCTTTCGGATGTTGTCACTGTTGGAATGTAGGAAATATGGCAACTATTGTAGGAATATGTTGAGCAAATAATATCATGACTTTTGGAAACAGTGTTACAGGATTTTTTTGCATCCAACTGAGGAGGCAGTTGTGTATTCAAGCAAAATACTGTTGATGCTGAAAATGTGATTAGGAGCTACTTTGTCCTGGATAGTGTTGAACTGCAATCATCCAGTCACAACCCAGACTTGTACTTTGTGTATGATGGACATGCCTTGGCGGGGACCAGAGATGAGTTACTTGCTGCAATATTCCTAACCTTTGAATTCTTCCTGTAGATACAGTGTTCATATGGCTAGTCCAGTAGAATTCCTGGTCAATGGTATTCCTAAAATGTAGATACTTGGGGATGTTGTGATGGGAATGCCGTTGAATATCAAGGAGTGACTCTAGATTGTTAAAGATTGCCTGGCTCTTGAGTGGAAAATGCCACCTTGGATATTGTACTTTGCTGCATTACTTGTCAGATACCGAAGTATTTCTGAATGGTGCTGAACTTCATGCAATCTTCTGTGAACATGCCCACTTCTGGCTTTTATAACGGGAAATTCATTCATGGAGCAGCTGAGATGATGGGCCTAGGGTATTACCTTGAGCAACTCTTTCAGTGGTGTCCTGGAGCTGAAAGTACTCATTTCCTGCAACTACAGCCAGCTCCCTTTGTTTTCCTTCTGGTTTGGGGCCCCATCCATCACCATAGTTATTCATTCCCTCTATCACTTGTACACTGTAGCAGTTGACTTAGTATAGATTGAAAGTTCCCTCGGCCTGTAGTTTAATGGGTATGTGCCTTGCCTTACGAAAGATTTAGATATGTACAAGGATGGGTTACTGATTTACTGAGTTATCTGCTTTTAAGCAGATAAACATGGTATGTAGAGCGTAACCAAAATGAATTCCAAGTCCTGATCTTTGAGAATTCGAAATTGTTACACTTAATACGGATGCTATAAGCCAGGGTGCATGATTTGAGGTGAGGTGCTTAGTGTGTTTCGCCCTGGATAGGACGTATGGAAAACATAATATGTTGCTATCTACATCTGGATTATTTGAGCCATCTGTCTTTGGGACCCTGGACTCTCGTGCAGAGATGCTTAACCTAGGATTTGGGCAAATAAATATTGAAATTATTCTTCGAAATAAACATGTAATTCAGCAATATTAATATCTGAAATCATTTTTATTTGCTAAAAAGCAGTAATTTTGTAACATACAATATTCTTGTGTTCCCTAATTAGCTGTTAATAAATCATTTATTGTGAAAATTATTCTGGTGGCTGAAGTAGCTAATTTGGTAACTGTCTATCTTGCTACCTTTTTAAACTGAAACTAACGTTTCTTTGAATAATATTTTAACATTAGGTCCATAAGGGTGTCAAGGGATTTGTACTCGATGCCACTAACAGAAAAGGGATATACAATGCTACCATTATCGTGGCAGAAGTGAACCATCCAGTGAGATCTGCTAAAGATGGAGATTATTGGCGCCTGCTTGTTCCTGGTGTCTATAAAATTACTGCTTCTGCTAGAGGGTATGATACAATGAAATGTGCTGCATGTGAATCATATCGCCAAGACTGGCACAAAAGATGCTACTGTCCTTAAATCATGTAATTGTGTGAGCAATGAAGCACTTAAAATTATAAGAAATCATATAGCACTTGAATTTTATTTCCAAAAAGTGCTTTTTTAGAAACTTACTATCTGTAATATATCTAGCTCGCTTTCTCCAATGCTTCTCTTCCTTTTTTTTTTTAATTTTTGGGTCATTCTTAAAGAAAAATTAAGTGTCCTAAAAAATTGAGACGGGGAATATTAGTCTGAGAGAAATCTGGCCAGAAATATAAAAGTAGATAGAGATTTTTAAAATATTTTAAAAAGGAAGGAGTTAACAAAGTGAGCATTAGTCTTCTTGATCTTGAGAGGTCTTGATGTTGGGAGGAAGTTCCCAATTATGTGTGAATCCAGAACTATGGGTGATTAATTACAGAATGATCAGCCTTGATCTTAGTTAGTAGTGGGGCAGACTTGAGGGGCTGGATGGCCTACTCTTCCTTTAAATTATATAATTCTTCATTTGAGCCAGTATTTGTGCAGGAAAACAATTATCATTGTGCTTCAAAGGGAATCTACCTTTTGATATTGAAGTGAAGTGGTATGCTAGGAGTGAGATCTGCACATATTCCAGAAAAAACAGTTGGAAAAGTACCCAATCTACTGCGAGTATCTTCAATATATCATAACTGAAACTAAATTTGGTCTCGCTATAATGCAGTGGGGAAAGTTGTTTTTAAAGGTGTTAATTCAGTAGTTCTGAGCTATATATGTTAATTTTACATAATTTTTCGTAATTTGTAAATTCAGCTGGATTTTTTTTGCAAAACTTGGTTTCTCAAAAATTTTGACGAAAGTGTATTAATACTGAGTTAGCAAGATTTCCCATCTTAAGAAAATAACAAACAAAAACAAAAGAACTGTGGCTGCTGGGAATCCGAAATAAACAAAAACAGAAATTGCTGGAAAAACTCTCAAGTCTGGCAGCATCTGTGGAGAGGAAGCAGAGTTAATGTTTTGGGTCCAATGATCCTTCAAAACTGTTGACTTTTCCAGCGATTTCTGTTTTTGTTAAGATAATTGTTTTACTGAAGGCAGGGTAAAGACTCTTGAGCCTAAAAGAAAATATACAAAATCATTGTTCAAAAATTCAATCCAGGGAAAATGATGCTACCAAATTTTAATAGCCACATCCTCCTCATTTATTGCAGGTATATCCCGATGACGAGGAATGTGACTGTTGTGGACGAGGCTGTAGAAGTCAATTTCACTCTTTCACGTATTGCAGATCGCTATGCCAACAATAATGATCAAGTACTGACCAACTCCTCAGCAGAGCCTGGGAAGGAGTTTCAACAACTTATAAAGACTTTGTCATCTGAAGAAGGATTGAACCATATGATTTCATCTGCACTTGTTGATCTCAGTCTTGATCGTTACCACGACTATAAAGACCTGACTGAAGTTCTGCATGGATTACAGAGTAACTACCCAACAATTACCAAATTGAGAAGGTGGATATTATTTTTCTTTCAGGTACTCTGTATTAAACTATTAGGCAGGCCTGAAGATTCTGTTTCTGTGGAAATTTACCTCAATAATGCTCATCGCCTTCTTACTGACCATAACACACAATAATGTAACTTGGTGCATGAGATATTGAGGACCTAATGCCTATGATCATTTGGGTGTATGACTATGACCTGCACAGCTTAATATGTTAGTACTTCTCTATGCCACGTGATTGGGAAGATTGAGTGGTATTTTGGACGATCCTTCCTACCAGTTTGCTTAAAATCGAAATCCTAAAGTTGATGACCAAAGGTTGAATAAGTCATTTGATCCTGATGTTTTATGTCATAATACCTCAGTTAAATTCATGTTTTAATAAATCCTTTTGCTTGTCTTTAATCTGCTGGTAAAGTTTTAATTCCTTCATATTTGTTTGGAATCACAAATGTCTTCAAATTTGTTATCTTTGGCCAAATCAGAATTTCTGTTATGTTTGTGTAACTTACATTGCCCGTTTTATTTATTATTTCATGACGTATGTGTTGCTGATGAGGCATTTATTGCCCATTCCTTATTGTCCTTGATTTGAGTGGCTTGCTAGGTACATGCAGAAGAGAGTTAGGAGTCATGACCATATTGGTGTGTCTAAAGTCATATGTAGAGTGTTCCAGGTAAGGGCGGCAGATTTCCTTTTTCAAAAGAACAATAGGTTTTTATGACAATTCTTATGAATTGAATTCTTATGACAATTTTTATGAAATTCGTTTACAATTTGAGATATTTATTAACAAGGAAACCTACATAGATTTGTACCAAAATGAACTAAACTTTTTGTTTACTTTACATGTCGACAAAGTTTGGGTCAAAGTGTAGAAGTCCGCCATATTTGGGCCCTGGAAATATCAGATAAACCTGGCATAAAAGAACCTGCAGAACCAAAGATTAAATTTGTTGCCGGAGTTCATGGAAATGCACCTGTCGGAACAGAGTTGCTTTTAGCATTCGCAGAGTTTCTTTGTATTCTTTATGGGAAAAATCAAGCCATTACAAAGGTAATATTCTGCCATGCATTTCGACTATTTCCTTCAATATCTATTTTTAAGCAGATACTTATTATGAAAGATGGATAATTGATAGAAATTTTGGTTTCATTTTCTTCTGAAATTAGTAGTAATACATTATATAACTACGTATACGTATTATTCTGTGGAATCTTTGGCCAGTGTTTGTGAATTGCTTTTAACCTCCATCCACATAATTTTACTTTAATCAAGAATGTGTTTTCACATTTCCAGACTGACTGAATCTTTCCTCCCACCCTATTTTTAAGCAGGAAGCAACTGCAATCTACATATCGGAAGAATCCTGGGACAGTGCTGTGTTTGTCTAGCGTCGCTAGATTTTAATAAATTTACAGTAAAGGCACCACAATTATTTAAATTTCAAGTTGTTGCAAGTATCTTTTTGTGTAGTTTGCTGAAGACTAGGTGAGCATGTTGGCAATGCCTCTTATCAGTGAGGCTGGCATGACTTGGTGTCTGACATTTGCCCTCCGTGTAATGAAAATTAACTTTAGAATTTACACCAGCAATTTATATTTGAATTTAGACTTTGATTAGGAATTCTTGGTTACAGTAATTACTTTACATATGGAACAATGACTGATTTGGTTAAGCATATTTTGCTGTTTGAGAATGTTGTAAAAATTGTATTTTCTCTGCATTAGATAAATGTTTAACAGTTGTACTGTACCCCCTCTTTTATTGGCTCAATGGCAGTCAAGCCCTGGACCAAATAAAATCATATGTTTGCTTTTTTCCATTTGCATGTATAGCCACCAGTGACTATAACATCTTGACAGGAGTTGCTAAAATTTTATATACCATTTCCTGGCAGCAATTACAAACTGTAAATACCTTCCTGTGCAATTGAATGCTGAAATTTCTGCAGCTATAAATACTTTATTTACCAAGTTTCATGACTTGCATGTTCTGAAAAATGTCCTCTTTAATATACCAACATATCCTTTGTGGAAAGAACTCTTTTATGTGCATTAACTTTGCAGTTATATAGCACGATATTAATGTGTCTATATGTTGCCATTAATGGCTCAGCAACAAATTTAATATTGCCAATTTTCGTTGTAAAGGAAGTGCTTCAGAGCTCGTCGTAATATCCAATTTCTCAAAGCTGACCCATTGAATTCAAATATCCCAATTATTTATACAATGCTTTAGGGGGCAATAAGTGCTTCCTTCATGAATAGAAGGGAGGTAAATCTCATCAATGCATCTTTCAAGGCTTAAGTACAACTACATGCAGATCCAGGACATTTGTTGAAAGTTCTATCAATTTAAAATTATTCACAAATTTATTACAATGCTGTCTGGGAATAATGTCTACGATGCAAAAAAATTCTGTTAAATTTTTTTCTAAGGTGTATGTGGAAGGTACTTGGCTGATTGCTGCTTTGAGCCCAATATGCAAGAAAAACTGTCCATTAATGTGCATCTTCTGTGGAAGATGTGCATAGTTAAGATGTTTGGTTTTTACACAATTGTCACTTTGCTCAAGTTGTACTTATCTGTGAATACCAGTATCATTGGAATTTGTTTATCTGTGTTACTATAATCAGAAACACACAACAGGAACAGGAGTAGGCCAATCGTTCCTCTACGTTTGTTCCGCCATTCAAAATGATCATGGCTGATTCTCCAACTCAGTGCCCTGTTCCTGCTTTCTCCCCATTCTCTTTGATCCCTTTAGCAGTAAGAAGTACTACTACTACCACCACTAGCGTCTAACTAATTCTTGAAAATATTTGATGGTTTGGTCTCAACCATTTTCTATGACAGAGAATTCCACAGGCTCACCATCCTGGGTGAAGAAATTTCACCTCAACTCAGTCCTAAATGGCCTACCCTAATCCTTAAACTGTAACCACTGGTCATGGACTCTTAGGTCATCAGGAACCTCCTTCCTCCATTTACCCTGTCTAGTCCTATTAGAATTCTATACTTTTTCTGAGATCCCCCTCATTTTCCTAAACTCCAGTGAGTATAATCCTAAGCAATCCAGTGTCTCCATGTGTCAGTCCTTCCATCCCAGGAGTCAGTCTGATAAGCCTCTGTTGCACTCCCTCCATAGACAGAACATCTGTCCTCAGTAGAGACAAAAATTGCACACAATGCTATCTCACCCAGGCTCTGCACAATTGCAGCAAGATATCCCTGCTCCTGTACTCAAATCCTCTCGCAATGAATGTCAACATACATTTTGCTGCCTTCTGAACCTGCATCCTTACTTTCAGTGGCTGATATACAAGGCCACCCAGGTCTATGCACCTCCTCTTTCCCAATCTATCCACCTTTAGATAATCTGCTTTCCTGTTTATGCTCCCTAATTGGATAACTTCACATTTGTCCAAATTATACTTCATCTCCCCTGCCTTTGCACATTCATCCAAATTGTCCAAATCACACTCTGCAACCTCCTCACAGTTCACCCTCCAAATTACCCTTATGTCATTTGCAAATTCTCGTGGTTGTGATGCTACAGAATCCAACCTAGACAAATATACTGAAATGTCAGGTATTGATGATATGACCAAGCAGAGTTCTGTCTCTCTCCATTTGGCCAGATTTCATAACTATATTAGTGCAGCAACGATCAGAATGATGTGCAATGAACATAGCTCTCGGGTTCGCTTGCTCTCTCTCTATAGGGTTTGCTTGCCAACATTTTAATTCTTTTCTTTACAAATATTTTTTGAAGCATCGGAAGGCCCATTTCTGATGTTAGAGATAGTAGGAACTGCTGATGCTGGAGTCTGAGATAACAAGGTGTTGAGCTGGATGAACACAGCAGGCCAGGCAGCATCAGAGGAGCAGCAAAGTTGACGTTTTGGGTCTGGATCCTTCTTCAGAAAAACTTTTCTGAAGAAGGGTCCAGATCCAAAACGTCAGCTTTCCTGCTCCTCTGATGCTGTGTTCATCCAGCTCTACACTTTGTTATCACGTTTCTGATGTTAGTTTTCTTTTCCTGATGCAGTACATTAATTCTTTTTAATTCCAGCATTGTCAGTTTTCCCTCTTTCTCGTGTTGCTGTTGTGTGTTCACTTTAACGAACTCATTAATAGTGATAAGATCATAGAATCCCTACAATCCCAACAAGTCCACACCGACCCTTGGAGCATCCCACCCAGACCCATCCCCCTATAACCCACCTAAGCTACACATCCCTGAACACTACAGGCAATTTAACATGGCCAGCCAACCCACCTAACCTGCACATCTTTGGACTGTGGGAGGAAACCCACGCAGACACGGGGAGAATGTGCAAACTCCACACGCAGTCATCCGAGGGTGGAATCAAACCCAGGTCCCTGGCGCTGTGAGGCAGCAGTGCTAACCACTGAGTCACTGTGCTGCCCCTAGTAATGATAAATGGGTACAGGAGGGAAGAATTGAGGCTGCCTGATGAGAATCCCTTTGATACACAGCCGTACTAAAATCCAGGTAGGCTTTTATTTGGGTTTGTTAAAGCCAGTGAGATAAATAAAAGTACAGAGGATTAATGAGTAGGTGACAAATTGGATACACAGTTGGCTCAGTGGCAGAAAGCAAAGAGCATTAATGGGTATTTCTGTGATTGAAAGGTTCTTTTACGGTGGGATTCTGCACTGAATTGCTCGTTTTTCAAAGTTTCTATCCGTGGTTTAGACATAAGTGTCAGGGCCTGATTAAAAAGTTTGCAGACAGTAAAAAAAATTGGCACTGTTGCATTTAGGAACCTCTAGACTCAAGGAAGATATCAATAGGCTGGGTCGGGTGGACAGAAAACTTGAGAACTGAACGAATGCATTTGAGGAAGGAAAACCGGGCAGGAATACACAAAAGTAGTGGAGCAGTAGAATTGTAAAGGAGCACTGCAGTGTTACCTTTCATGTCCATAGATCTCTCATAGATAAGGTTGCTGAAGGTACTTTCCTTTATTAGCTGAAACATACAACACAAGAGTAAGGAAGTATACCAGAACTGCATAAAGCACTAGTTAGATAATGCTAGAGCACAATGTGTGTGCTTCTGATTGCCATGTTACAGGAAGGATGTGATTACAATTAGAAATGTGGTACATGGGATTTTGGGAGGATATTGCCAGAACAGGAAAGTTTTAGTCCGGAGAAAACATTGAATAGGCTGGGGCTGTATTTTTTTGGAACGTTAAGGCTTAGGAGAGATACACTCTAATCAAAAATTGAGAGGCTTGGATGCACTGGATCACAACAATCCATCTGTCAACACAGACCACATTAGGTTGAAGCACAAAAGAAGGGACGCTGAAGAGTAATCTTTTCATTTGTAGGATGTTGACAATCTTGGATTTGCTGCCCCTAAGGATGGTAGATCCAGACCCTTAATTGCATTAATAAGTCAGTCCAGACAAAAGAGTCTCTTCCTGTGCTGTAAAATTTTATAATTCTGGATAACATGAAGTATACGGTGGCAATATGACAGTCGTATCATTTAACATGTGACCATTGCTGTCATATTCCCTGATGGTGAAAGTGCTAATGAACCCAACATATAAAAAATGGTATGTAATACTATTGTTTATAATTGCCCTTTCAAGCACAATCCATTTGGCAACTCCCATTGCCCAGTGTACATCAAAAGAAAGTTTGGTAGTTTTGATATAAGGAGCTAAAGCTGAGTTTAGCAATCAAAATCCATGCAGCCAATGCAGGTGCATTCAAGATTGTGTGAAAGATGAAAACCATTAGATTCTATCTGTGGTTTCTGAATCACATCATAACTGTAAGCACCAGATAGTGGAATCTTGGATGTTCGTGCGCATAAGTAAAGTTCAGCTCTGAAAACATTTAAAGATGGTTTATATATTTAATTTCAAGTTTGTATTAACTTTTAAGAATGTAATGTGACTTCCTGTTGCAGTCACAAATATTTTTCACATTTAATTTCTTGGCTTTTGTCTTTCAATTATTGATGTAAAATTTTGAACACAAGTTAACTGCAGTTTGTTCATATTTCAAGTATGATTGTTGTAAAGTATGCTTGTTAATTAAGCTTTGTACTTCAAGACTTATTGTCTAAGCAAGTGAAAGCTAAATTAAAACTTTTTTTCTCTCCAGTTGATTGAAGAGACAAAGATTGTGATTGTACCATCAGTGAACCCAGATGGTAGAGAAGTTGCCCAAGAGGGGCAGTGTACGTCCAAAATTGGGCTGACCAATGTAAATGGAAAAGATTTGGACAGTGATTTCATGGGTAATGTATTAGCGCTGGCAGCTGTTTTACTTCCAACACTGACCCAGAGTACTGATTTTCGGATCACTTTCTGTGTAGAAACTAAAGTTTCAAACCATATTTTGACCCTGTCATAACCATATTGTTGTAACGCATCCATGCTGTGTACATTTTGTGTTTAGCAAGTAGCAAAGTTAGCTCATTGCCTTAGAATGGAGATGTGTTTTGTTTTCGGATCATTGCTCATCACTACGCTACCCTGACTAACTTGAGTTCAGCCAAGGGAGAAATTGTTTAACCTAATGATGTTTTCTGTCATTCGGCAAAGTTATTAATTAACATTTTAGTATTGCAACAAAACTGAAGAATGGGAGCTTGTGGCACAGTAGTACAGTCCCTACTTCTGAACCACAAGGTCCGTTTCAAGCCACAACTATTATCATAACATATCTGAACAGGTTGGGTTAACATATTGAAGGGAAAAAATTATGAAGGCTGAGTCCTGAATTGATGGCTTTTTCAATACATTTAGTTTAAATTGTTAGAAATACTTAAGTTATGTACCCAGATAATTTTCAATTTTAAACTCGACACATCACCCAAATGAATTATCTTGCTGTTTTCAACTCCCTGAATAATCCTGGATTTTAACATAGCTTTTCATTTGTGTTATTTAAAAATTAATATGCTAAATTCACTATATATTTTAAATCATTCTTTAGTTCATAGTACATCATTTTGAATATTATACATGGGGTACTACGATTCTTCCATTATTTCTTTTCAAATCAAATACTAGTGCTAGTGGCATTTTCTCTCCGACTGGTTAGGAATTGGATATCTTTAAGACTGCATTGCAAATATTAAAAGTAGAAGATTTGTATTTTACCAGGAAACTCCTCTGAGCAGTTCTCAGAGATGCAACCTGAGACTAAAGCGATAGTCAAGAAACTGATCCTCAACCAAGGATTTACATTGTCTGTTGCTTTGGATGGTGGCTCTCTTCTCACCACATATCCTTACGATAAGCCTGTACAAACAGGTATGTATTTATTATACCCCATGTTTATTCTACATCAAATTCAACTTACTTTGTCCAACTAGTGAAAATTTGAATACTATTTTCGTGTAGACTCTGTAAAGTTATTTTGTTACTAAACGGGGTGGTTCTGGGTTTGGTTACTATGTTGGAGTTTGGTAAAGCTCTTACGGTAGTTTGAAGTAGAGGAAAGTTGCAATTAGTTTTAATATCTACAAGCTAATGAGTTTTTAAAAAAAAAAAGTATTGGCTGGGGTTCATCTAGTCATCGCAATTAAATTACATGGATGGAAGGTGAGAAGAGTAAATGAAGTATGGCGACTTTGAATGCAGCGCCAAATTTCCTCCTGAAGTGTATGTATTAGAAGCTGCAAAGATGTCAGAGCTGGAGTCCTGGAGTTTCTGTTCCAGAATGTCTTTTCCCATCTACATAACTATTTACCATTTCATTTATAATTTGTAACTTTTTTTATTTCTTTTCTACAAAACCCCAACCAATCTTTAGCAAGGGTATTACATTTGAATAAAAGAAATTATGAAGGCATGAGGCACACGATATTACCTATTTTCTTTTGATGGTTCATTGTTGAATGTGTGATAATAAAAAACAGTGAGGCGCAAAGAGCCAAATCTGGTTATAAATGGGAGATTTGACATCTTTTGCATTCAGAAAAATCTGTAATCAGTAATTGTTTATTATGACATATTCATAAGTTATTTGCAATAAAAATTCATTTGAAGGGCTGTTGTGACAAAAAGCAAAAATTCTTGTTTTATCAGTAATGTTTTGCTGTGTATTGTAAAAGTAGAAAACTACCTCATTGTTCCTCTAATACTTGCATATGACCTGATCTGTTTTTTCAATAGTTGCAAATGAGGAAACTCTGAAATATTTGGCAACTGTGTATTCTGACAATCACCCCAAAATGCATTTGGGTCATCCAGGTTGTCCTAATAACACAGGTGAGAATTTACAATAATATCTAACGCTGTTTGGTTTCACTATTACTTTCATTTAGCACAAATTAAATCAAAAAAATTGCATTAACATTGGAAATTTTGACAAGCCATCATGTATTTTGTAACCCCACATCAAGTTTTCAGGTAAAGTTTTTTGACTAAGTCCGATTTCCTGCCTACAATCTAAAGATGTTTTAATCTGGTGGAATTGAACAGGACACTTTTCCTCGTGGGAAAGTCTAGATCTAGGAAGCAACCTTTTAAAAATAAGGGATGCCTTATTTAGGGCTGAGATGAGAAGGGATTCTTTTCTGAGGGTTGTGAGGCTTTGGAACTTTTTTTTGGAGCAGTGGAGGTAAGGCCATTGAATGCTTTTAAGGTTAACCAGGGAGTCAAAGATTATCAGGGGTAGGCAAAAAAATTGGTTTGAAACCATCATCAGAGCGGCCTGCTCCTCGTTTATATGTCTGTATGAATTCTGGATATCCTATCCAGCTTGTTTCCTCACCTCTCCTGTTTTTTTTCCCTTTGGCTACTGAACCCTGTCAGCCTTCCTGTTCACTGTGGTTTCCTGGCCTACATCCAACTAGCAAGATTTGGGATCTAATATAGCAGCCTAATATTGTAGGTAAATCGACAGCACAAAAGGAAATTCCACAAAGAATCAGTAAAAATGTGTGAAATGAAAGTAATGCACTAGAACATAAGCTTTTCAGGTTGCTGACCTGTGACCAGTGGGGTCCCACAGGGATCAGTGCTGAGACCACAACTGTTTACAATGCAGATTGATGACTTAGAGGAAGGAAGTGAATGCACTGTAGCCAAATTTGCAGACAACACAAAAATACAAAGACAAGATGCAACCGGAATAGAAACCGTCTAGAGAGATATTGATATGTTAAGTAAGTGGGCAAAAAGGTGGCAAATGGAGTATATAATGTGAAGTTGTTCATTAGGAAGGGAGAACAAAGCATTATTTAAATAGTTCAGAGAGGATTAACTAGTATGATCCTTGGTGTGGAAGGATTGTCTTATGAGCAACGGCTAAGTTGATTGGGACTTTGGGGGTGACCTTTATAGCGATTTATAAAATCATGGGGGGTGTAGATAAGGTGAATAGAAAATTCACCTGGGGGGGCGGGTTCAAAACTAGGGGGTATGTTTTTAAGGTGAGAGGAGAAAGATTTTAAAAGGATATGAGAGGCAACTTTTTTTTCACAGTTTGTTTATGGAATGAACTGGCAGAGGAAGTGGTGGATGCAGGTATGATTACAACGTTTAAAAGACATTTGATAAGTGTATGAATAGGAAAGGTTTGGAGGAATATGTGGACAGGTGTGTCTAGTTTAGTCTGGGAGCATGGTTGGTGTGGACTAGTTAGACTGAAAGGTCTGATTCCATGCTGTATGACTTTGACTCTATTCACTGACATTTAGAAGAATGAGAGGTGATCTCATTGAAATGCATAGGCTCTTATGGGGCTCGGCAGGGTAAATGCCAAGAGGATGATTTCCCCTTATGGGAGAGGCTAGGACCTGGAGGGCATAGTCTCAGAATAACAGAGCGCCAACTTAAGACTGAGATGAGGAAGAATTTCTTCTGAGGGTTGAGTGTCTTTGGAACTCCTTGCCGTAGACAGCTGTGGGGATAGAGTCTTTGTGTGTGTTTAAAACTGAGAAATTCTTGATCAGTTGGAGAATCAAGGGTTATGGAGAAGACATGAAAGTGAGGAATGTCAGATCATTTATGATCTTATTGAATGACAGAGCAGGCTTGAGGAACTGAATGGCTTACTCCTGTCCTATTTCTTATGGTCATATGGATAAAATACAGTATTTTATGATATGTGCTAGGAGGCTGTAGAAGTGAAATTAAATTGACATAAACCGAAAGCAACATGTTGCAGATGCTGAAAATCTGGACTTAAAATCTAAAGAATATTTTGATTCCATGTTTCAAAAAGTGATGATTTTTGATGGTGTCATTGATTTTTTTTTTTTTTTTTAAAGATGATTGGAATCTTTTTACCTTGTGCTGTGTGTATAATTTTCCCAGTCATATAACATCTCCAGAACAGCTGGGACTTGAACCAGTGTCTTCTGACTCAAAGCAAAGGATACTACCATTGTGCCACAAGAGCTCTTCTTAGTATTGTATATGATAGTCAAAAAACAGTATGGGTATAAAATTTGATATCTGTTGGCCAACAAAGTCTGACTGTTGAAATGTGTCACTATGCCATGGGAGAAGAATAATTGCAGCATTTTCAACACTAGGGAATTCCATTGCTGTCTAATTTCCCAGTGTATTTAGAAAATGTTATCATTGTCAACTTCTCTCTAGATGCACTCCTCAAATCCCAGTTTCCACAGTACATTGGTGATTGACATAAAATGTGATTAGTTTGCATTTTTTGTGTTGATAAACACCAAGGAAAAATTAAATCGATCATCATGGTTTTACATTCAAAGATGTATGCCAGGGAGTTAATCGTATTCCCCTACATGACAAAGATGATAAAATTGATGCAAGCTGAGTTTCTTTACATCAATTCTGAGATGGATCTGGAAACTTGACAAAGCATTCTATATCAGAGGCTTAGTACAAACTGTATAAACATGGAAATATCTTTTAAATTAAGGGTAAGATTGCTAATCCTAATGCACTCAAAGGGGAAATTCCTATTAGAGTCAGATAGGAAGGTTTGCATTGCTAAAATTTATGCTATTATCTGGGCTATTTGTTAGCAAGAGTTTCCTGCAGTAAGGCTGCAAGAAAATATGAACTAGGAGCAGGAGAAGGCAATTTTTCCTTCAACCCTGCCGATCCATTTAATACGATCATGTCAGATCTCATCTTGGCCCCAATTCCACTTTCCTGCTTGTTCTCCATTACCCTTCAATCCATTACAAATCAAAAATCTGTTTGTATCCTCCTTAAATTTACTGCATCCCAGCATCCCCGACACTCTGGGCTAGTGAATTGGACAGATTAATGACTCGTTGAGAGAATTCCTCCGCATCTCTTAAATCTGCCACTCCTATCCTAATACTATGACCTCTCATTCTACATTCCCTTACGAGGAAACATCCCCTCTACATCAACTTCATAAATCCCTTTAGCATCTTATATTCCACAATTACATCTCTCAATTCTTCTAAACTTCAAAAAATATAGGACTAAGCTCTTTGATTTCTCTTTTATAAGGCAAGCCAATCAATCTCTGGAATCAGTCTGGTGAGCCACCTCTGAATTGTCTTCAGTGCAACTATGTCCCTCCTCAAAGGGACCAAAATTGTACACAGTACTCCAGGTGTGATCTCACGAATGCCTTGCACAGTTGCAGCAACACTCCCCCACTTTTATACTATATTCCTTTAGCAATAAATGCCAAACTTCATTTGCCTTCTTTATTACCTGCTGTATCCGCATACTACTTTTCTGTGAATATGCATGAGGACATCCAGATCCCTTTGCACCAAAACACTCGAGTTTAACTCCATTTAGATAATAAGTTGCCTTTCTATTCCTCTGACCAAAATGAATAACCTTGCATTTATCCATGTTAACATCATTGCCAAATTTTGGCCAATTCATCTAACCGATCCAGATCCATTTGTAAATTTCTTATTTCTTTATTCCAAGCTTACTTTCCTACCTACTTTAATGCCATTTGCAAATCTACTCAGTCCACTTTGCTATTTTTTTCTTTCTATGCTTTTTAAAAAATGTTTCCATTTATTATGGTACCCTACCTGCTTTTAATGTGGTGCACTGTGGTGGCTTCCAGCTGCCCAGAATTATGGTATAGGCATGACGATCTCAGCTCAGCCCTGCATGGCATTTTGAGCCCAGCTTTTCAGTGTACCCTGAACCCAAGAGCTGTTAATTGAACTGTGGTGAAGTTTTACTTGTTTTTCTTCTTATGACTTCTGTCTTTGGTTTAGGTGTCGTGCTAGTGGCTTATTAAACTTTTCACTTTTTTCTGTACAAATACATTGACAAAGTGCTATTCTACTCTGTTCAAATTTAGGTAAAGTACTTTCCATCCCTACTTCCAAGTCATCAACATAGATCGTAAATAGTTGAGGCCTGACAACCAAATCCTGCAATCTCCATTAGTTACATCTTGCCAACCAGAATAAGATCCATTTCTCCCAACTCCCTGCTTTCTGTTCATTAGCCAGTCCTCTGTCCAAGCTAATAAATTGCTCCTAACCCAAGTGATCTTATAAATGTTCATTTCTGATCACTTCAGTTATTCTCTAACAATTTTCAAACTGCACGTTGTCAAATTTGATAGGTGAGCTGTGTACTTTATTTCAATTTGCTTCTGGCATCTGAAGTTTACAGCATTCATTGGTTTAATCTCTTTTCAGAAGAAAACATCCCAGGTGGCATTGTACGTGGTGCACAATGGCATGGTCACATGCATAGCATGAAGGTGGGTATTAAATGTGTGTCGTGATGAGTCCAATGTCAGAAGTGTAAGTGAAGATCTGGCAGACATTCTAGTTTTAAAATCAACACCTGATTAGTTCAGCAGAAGCAGGTGCTGTGCTGTTTTCCTGTAGTGCCCTCTTATGGCTGGTTGCATGTCGAAACTATGTCAATGATATTATTTTAAGTACTAAAGCATGGTCCTCCACAAAATGAAGTAAACTGTACAGAATCCTGCAACATAAAGTGTAAACCTTTGGAAGTGATATTTTGGACTTTCTCAGTCATAGAATGCAACAATCTAATTGTCCATGCTCCTTCAGCTGACTCCCTTACAAGCTGTGAAGAGAAAAATGGACTTAATTCTCCAAATAGGAATTGTGATGCTAGCTAAAATCCAAATGAAGTCCAACCAATAGTAAAAGCACACTTGAAATTTGATATTCTACAAAGCTTAGTTTTGTTGGTTTGAGGCCAAGTGTCTCCCTTGTATGTGATTAAAATTCTCATCAGCAAGAAATAATTAGAATTTGTGTTTTCAGATAAAATAGTTACGTTTTAATCCTTTCATTAACACCTATCATAGGGATTTGTTTTCTAATTTTTGTCTCGCTAGGATTTTAGTGTAACATACGGTCACTGTCCTGAAATCACAGTTTACACGGGCTGTTGTAACTTCCCACGTGTCAAAGAGCTTGCTACAATTTGGAATGAGAACAAGAAATCTTTACTCAGTATGCTTGTTGAGGTAAGCATCTGTTGCCCAATACCTCATGAATTCAGGGGTATCTGTTGCCATACTGCCCCAACCGCTGACAATTCAACCCGTGACATTCGCTTCTGTTTGTGCAGGTATTTCTTATTTATTGATCTATTCTGCTCAATATTTGTTGTCTTGGCAGTTCTCAAAATGTTATGCTAGCACAGTTGTCTCTGTTGATTAAATTGCATGCCAAAGCGTCCTGAATATATTGGCATCAATTGTGATCTACATAAATTAATAGGAAAATGGAATTTGTACACCTGAATGTGAAGTCCGTAAAGGAAAAAGGGTGGGTATTCCCATCTTTATATAGTGGAGGGAAATTATATTGTCAAAATATCCTCAATCACTTTAAAAAATATTCTCCAGTTTCAATCGATATAAATTGACAGAATGATAAATTTAAGTACAATTGTGGAAAAAGTCTGTTTAGCTGTTTTCCAATTAGTTTTCAGTTTTCCTAATGTAATCGAAGGTTATTTTAAGTAATTTGTGTCAATTTTCTAAACTGAGATTGTTTCCCTCAGGTTCATAAAGGCTTACGTGGAATGGTGACCGATAAAGCTGGAAATCCAATTTCAAATGCAAATATTATTCTGAATGAGGGTGTCAAAGTTCTGACTTCGGAGACGGGCTGTTTCCATGTTCTCCTGTCTCCGGGGCCACATCATGTTGATGCACTTGCAGCAGGATACCAGCATCAGCGCAAGCAGGTAGAAAATCTAAGCACTTTTTTTATATATTCATGGGATGAGGGTGTCACTGGCTGGGCAGCATTTACTTGCTCATCCCTAATTGCCCAGAGGGCAGTTAAGAGTCAGCCACATTGCTGTGGATCTGGCGTTACATGTAGGCCAGACCAGGTAAGGATGGCAATTTCCTTCCCTAAAGGACATTGGGGAACCAGATGGGTTTTTCCTGACAATCTACAATGGATTCACAGTCATCATTTTTTTTTTCTAATCATTTTGTGGGATGTGGGCATCGATGGTTGGCCAGCATTTCTTGCCCATCCCTAGGTGCCCTTGAGAAGGTGATGGTGAGGCTGTCTTCTTGAACTGTTGCGTTCCTCCTGCTGTGGGTTGACCCACAATGCTATTAGGGAGGGAATTCCAGGATTTTGACCCAGCAACAGTGAAGGAACAGCGATATATTTCTAAGTTAGGATGGCGAGCGACTTGGAGGGGAACTTGGAGGTGGTGGTGTTCCCGACTTAGATTCTTAATTCCAGATATTTTATTGAATTCAAATTCCACCATCTGCTGTGGTGGGATTTGAACCCAGGTCCCCGAACTTTATCTGGGTCTCTGGATTAACAGTCCAGCAATACTACCACTAAGCCATCACCTCCCCTTTTCTCTAATTATGCTCTTAGACTACAGATTTCTTAATATGTGGAATGTGGGTTTCATTGCAGGGCCAGCATTTATTGTCCATCCCTAATCGCCCTCAAAGATGACAGTGAGCGGCTGCCTTGAACCACAGCGGGTTGTAGCGGAGGGGGTTCCAGCCATATAAACACTGTAAATGAGAAAGGTCAAATACTTAAAATTCTACAGCAAGTAATTCACCTTGAGACTCTAAGCCTGCCCCGCATCTATATGCGCAAATCTGGCTTGTGATTGCATCAAGTGCATCTCCAACGGCACTCAACTTGAGACCATTCGAGCAAAGTAGCCCACTTGATTAACAACAAAGACAGAACTTCCTGGAAAAAAAACTCAGCAGGTCTGGCAGCATCTGTGAAGACAAAACATAATTAATATTTTGGATCCAGGGATCCTTCCTCAGAATTCACTTGATTGACCCTCCTGTCACCATTGCTGCACATTGCCAGTAATGGATACCACGAAAAAGATACACTGCAGCAGCTGCCAAAGCTGCTTCAATAGCATTTTCCATACTTAGATCTTTATTGTCTAAAAGAACAAGGGCAGCAAACACATGGGTATATCACCAGCAAATTCCTCTCTGAATCACAATCCATCTTGACTTAAGAACGATATCACACTTCCTTCACAAGATCAGTGCTTCTGGAGTTGGTTGCTTGGCAGCACTGAGAGTGTTAACTGGCCTTGCCAGTGATGCTAATGACCAGAATTGTTTTTTTAAACTGCTGATTGTCAGGATCTGAGCATTTGCACCTGAAATATTAAACTGTCTCTTTTTCACAGACTTGAGATATGCATTGTGTTTCTTTTCAGATTTTCTGTACAGTAGTTGCTTTCCTTTTCATTCAATATATTCTAACATTAAAATTTATTCAAACCTTAAATGACCTCATGATTTACAGAAGAGACTTGCTTTCTGGTCTTTTCCACTTTTAGGCAATATAATTTACACTTCTGCTCTGCTTGAAAATTAACACTGTATTAATTACATTTTTATATAATAGGTGTTTGTATCCTCTTATGAAGCTGCCACCTCTGTGCTAATAGTTTTTGAGCTGGATAATAAATTATTTGGCCTTCCCAGAGAACTGGTGGTAACAGCAGCAGGTAAGAATTGATGTGAGGCAGCATTGAGTTATTTGTGCTAAGATTTCTATCAAAGTAAGCTATAGTTTGTACAGACTGCTAATTTTAAATTTCAATCATCAAAGATTAATAATTTGATCATACTTAACTTGGGTTTTGTGATATCCTTTTAGTTAAACACTAAATTATTCCACAGTCCCTTGAAACTTGAACAAATCTGTGAAACACTTACCTTTTCCACTGTGTTTATTGTGGAAGTATAGCAAAGTTGAAGCTAGCAAGCCAATTGTTTTATTTTTGACTTGCTTGCTTAACTGTGTGCATTTACCTTGGCTTACATTAAAATTTGTAACCCAATGGAATTTCAATATTATATTAATCTCTGCATTTAATGTTTAAATTATTTTTGACACAGTAGCAGTGTCTGTTCTCCATATGTGAATGTATATGTTGAATACTTTGATATTCTAGCTTTCGTAATGCTACAAAGTGAGGGAAATGAAACAAGGAATGTTTTTACCTTTTCCATTAGGTGCAACCATTTCTGCAATAATTGTGACAGCTTGCATCGTTTGGTGTGTTTGCTCTGTCAAGTCCAATCACCAAAAAGATGGCTTTCATCGTTTGAGGCAGCATCGAGATGAATACGAAGATGAGATCCGAATGATGTCAATGGGCTCAAAGAAATCACTTCTTAGCAGTGAATTTCAGGATGAAACAGAGAGTGAAGATGACACTCTGTATATTAATAAACATTAACATATCAAGCCAGCTCTGCTGGACTGGCAGTAATGTTCACCTTTTTGCCAAGTAAAATGAACAAATAAGCATTAACCCTAATAGAGGATTTGCCTGATCTGCTGCACATTGGGAAGTGTTGGAGTGATTTTTTTTCTTATACATTTAGTTGTCCTTTTGGAAGAGTAGATGCTACAAGGAGGAATGGCAATTTGCACCATCACTTGACTGTTGTGCACGTCTTGAACTGACTTCTGATGTTATGTTCTGATTAAGGGTCAACTGCAGGAAGAATGTTATTGCACCATATCTACCATCTGCGCCTCTGCCTGACGATACTTAAAAACTGTGCCAACATTTAAAGATGCAATATACCTTTCACTTCCCCACTTTTAAGAAGAAAAATGTGTGTGCTTAATCCACCTTTTTAAAACAACCATTCATTTATTTTTGCGAACTTTACTGTATTTTATATAAACAAAGTTCTCAAAAGAAGTCGAGTGAAGGCGAATTGTGCGGTGCTACTACTGTGCCATTTTGTCTGGGTTGCACGTGCTAATTTTAAAAGGTGGACAATTTTTTTAATCAAAGGTATGCTGCAGCTTTGTTGCACCTGAATCTTGCCAGTGTTACAAATGAGGGAAAGTGCTGTGTGTGTTTGCCTTCCTATCCCTCTCCAAAAATGTATGACATTAATTTTAAAATTTGATATCCCCTTTTTTCATTTGTATTTTCCTCCATAAAATACAACAAGCTAATAAAATGAATGTCATTTGATATTTGTAATTCGAATAACTAATGTAAAAAAATTGTCAATGCTATGTTCTTTTTACATCAATGCAATCTCAGTAATTACGAATAGGCTGTGTACATTTGAGAACCAGACAATTTTGGCAAGGGGTGGGGGTATACAATGAGAAGGCAGAGGTTACAGAGGGCACAAAAACCAAATCAGCCATTTATGAAAATGGCATCTTCAAATTTGTCATTGGTTTTCCTTTTATTTTTGAATTTATTCTTGATGCACACTGGATAATTTTATGGTTGGAGATTTCTCAATTGGAATTACAAATGTTAGAGAACTGAACATCTAATTTTCAAGGTGCTCTTTTATTATATCAATTATGAAATACCTTTACTGAGGCAGTGAATTTGTTTAATTTGAATCATGATGGTAGAGGTCGCTACTGAGAATTAAAATGAGAATTTATGGTCCTATCATATGCTGTTTGAAGCATAATTTTTCATAGTTTTTATAGTCTGGATCTTGGTGTAAATTTTTTTCAACATATTGTAGAGATGCATTGAATGTGGGTGAAGGGTCATAGAATAATTAAACTCTGTATAGATGTGAGTGAATGTTTGTACGTGTGTTTTCAGTGTGTGCCACTGAATGTACACCTGAATTGCCTAAATACAGTATATGATCACCAGAAATACAGCATTGCCAAAAACACCTAATTCATATTAGATATTATTCAATTTATTAAGAAATGATTCACTGTACTTGAGTTTGTCAGCTCCATTGTGTTTGGAAAATCACTTCAGAATGTTAGTATCATTGTTCATTTGTACTTTTTGCACAGGACATTTTATCAATATTGTGTACTTGACTATATGCTGTGATGCCTTAAATTTTTCATATTTCTTTCATTTTGTGGTGATGTCACTGGGTTTCAGTGAAAGGTTTTGGCATCTAAAAATAAATGCTTTATCTAGCACATGTCTGTTGTTTATGGTGGTGTACTCAATGTTTAAACAATGCTGGCATCTTTCACTTAGTTCCCTTTTGATAAATTTCACATGGAAAAAACAAAATAACAAAGTGCATGATTACAAAGCAAAGATGACTTGGATTAGCTTTGAGTCATAAATGCTTTTCTTTGAACTGTCTAATTAATTATTATTATAGTGACATGGCATCAATTGGAGAAAATATCTCCAACAATGAAATATCAAATATCATTTTTTATAGAAAAGCCACCTGATTCAAGGAATCTAAAATGAATTATTGACTTGGGTATTTATTGCAAGGGATGATTAGAACTTTTCAGTGTTTTGCTGGAAAAAATTTGCAATTACATTTATCCTAAATTAACACTAATTCGGAATTATTGGTCAAATTCTGTTTTATAGTAATATTTCTAGATTTTACAAATAACTTGAGCATTACTTTTTCAATTCTATTTCTTATTTATACAATTTTATAATAAATCAAACACAATAAAATCTGAATATGCAGACTAGCCATGGATTAAAACTGTCCTTTGATCAAATCAGGTACTCTAGAGACGACAGTGTCATTTCTTTTCATGTAGTTTTTGATTTTTTTTTTAAAACTAACCTTTGTTTTACATTGATTTTATAATGTAATACCTTTGATCATAAAACAAAGTCTAAATTGATCCAAAAATAATTTGCCCCAATTAAACTGAAATGAATAATATGTCTGTTTTGTTTCAATGTGATTTTAGATCAGCTGTTCACTGAAGCCAAACTGGAGAAATAAACTGACATATATTTATAACATTGTTGAAATTGGATGGAGTGTATAAAGCGCAGTCGATCTGCTGCATCCCTATCGAATTTTAATTGCACACCCTTTATCTAATTCAACCAGTTTCAAACTGTCAATATTGTTATATTGCTAAGTTTTGAGCTTTTAAACATTTATTGAAATTGAAGTTCAGTACAATGCTGATGGTATGTTGTCTTTTACATAGAAATTTAACTGGAGCACAAGTAGGCCATTTGGCCCCTGAAACCTGTTCTGCCATTCAACAAGATTGTGGCTGATCTGCCCCAAGCCTCAACTCCTTTTTCATGCCAACTCGGCATAGCCATTAACTTCCTGATATTGCTAACATATATCTTACTCCTCTTTAATGACTTTATCTAGCCCCCACACACTCTGGGATAAAGAATTCCATACCTTCTGTACCCTCGGGGGGGGGAAAAAAAAGTCCTTTTCTTCTCATTTTTAAATGAGTGTACCCATGTTCTGTAACTGTCTTCTGGTTTGATTTACCCCATGAGTGGAAACATTGAAACATCTACTCTGTCGTACTTCCTCAGATTCCTGTGTTTCATTAACATCACCCCTCATTCTTCGAAACTCTAATGATTAAAAGCTGTTTTTGATAAGTCAACCTTTTCATCCTGGGAATCAGCCCAGTGAATTTTTTTTTAACTGCATCCAGTGCCAGTATGTCCTTTATTAAATATGGTGACCAAAACTGTACAGAGTACTCCAGATGTAGCTTCACTAGCTCCTTGTACAGTTAGAACAAGACTACGCTGTTTTTAAACTCCAACCCCCTAGCAATAAGGCCAAAATTCCTTTTGCCACCCTGATTGTTTGTTGCATCTGCAAGCTAATTTTGTTTCATGCAAAAAAAAAAAACCCAGATCCCTCTGCAATGTATTTCTTTGGAGTCTTTCACCATTTAAGTAATTGTCTTTTAATTGTTCCTACAAAAGTGTATGATTTCATAGTGCCTGACATTAAACTCCATTGCCCATTCATTCAACCTATTCCTATCACCTTGCAGTTCTTCCCTCCTCATCCTAACATGCCCTCCCACCTTTTTGTTTGTATCATCAGCAAATTTGGATACATTACACTCTGCTCCCCACCCCCAGTAATTGATAAAGATAAATAATTGAGATTCTAGAACTGATCATTATGGCAGTTTGCTGTTTTGTTGTTCCAACCTGAAAAAGACCCATTAACCCAACTGTCTTTCACATGTTAACCAATCCTTAATCCATTATAATACATTGCTCTCAATACTGAGATCCTATTTTGTGCATTAACCTTTTATGTGACCCCCTATATGATTTGGTCTGAAAATCCAAATACACTACATTTACCAGTCCCCCTTTATCAACTGTTTGTTATATCATCAAAGAACTCTAACACAGTTGTCAAACATGTTTTGCTTTTAACAAAACCATGCAGACTGTTTTGTTATGTTAAGCTCTTCTAAATATCCTGCTATTTCTTCCACAATAACGGACCCTGCTATTTTTCCAACAGACGATATTAGGCTAACTGGCCTATAGTTACCTGTATTAGGAGATGCAGTTTTAAAATAAGTAGGATTAAAATAAGAGGTTTGTTTTTCTCCAAAGGTCCTGAATCTCTCAAACCCCTGTCCCCGAAGAGAGCAGAAGACAGGGTATTTGAATATCTTCAAGGCAAAGGTAGACTCTTGATTATGATGGTCAAAGGGTACAAGCGTTGCAGGAAGTGGAACTTCCCATGAGTGTTAGCAGCTACTTAAAGATTAGTGTCAGGTCAAAAATAGCTTTAAGATGGAAAATTGCTGTGCTGACCTAAAATGTTGTGCTGTGAATCACAACAAACAATGCATAGGCATGAAGCAAACTTTGAGAGATATAGCACTTGATTCTTTTTCATAGGCAAAGTATTGCCTGTTCAAGTTTTTTTTTGTAAGACTGTCCTGTTTGCCATAGTGTAGAAGACAACAATGCAACGTTTTGTGTGGTAGCCGTTAATGGCAATGTTGTATACAGTACCACAGAAACCTAGAAATAGATTTGGAACAGATATTAAACTTAAAGCTGTCATTGCAGAGTTACCCATGAGTAATTTGGCAGGTAAACAAAAATATGCAAGCTAAAATATGTTGTATGTTATGCATTTAAAAATGACCAATGCAAAGTATTCATTCTAGTTGCTGCATTGCTTACTATGCAATGCCCATATTCCAACTAGTCACATATTTACATTTTACGACTGAAACACTTGGTCCATTATCACCTTAAGTGTTAACTGATTAAGTCATTCTAATATAATCTAGATAGTAGCATTATGCATTTTTAGTTGCAGAAAAGCTAGAATGGGAAGTACGTTGCTTGCAAAGTCAGTATTCTTTTAACTTGCAACATTATGAAGCCATTTTCCTGATTGTAGGGCAAGATCACTCTTAACGCAGAGAAAAAGATTGAACAGTAACGGATCCCAATACCTGCAAATGCTTGACTTCCTTTGAAGTGACTGGATGTTTTTAAACACATGCATACTGTGCGTAGAAAGTGAAGAGGTGAATCATTAGGAACTCTGTCTTGTCCTGGTTCTCTCATGTACAGACATACTCTAAGCTATAACTCAGTAATGCAAGTTTACCAAAGAAGTTCCTGAAAGAGATGCAGTGATTTTGTTGCGATCCATCTCGGGTGGTGTGATACAGGACTCTCTGCTCTGTGGCTACGCAACAAACCAAATATCAATCACAGCTAGAGGACCATCAGCTGAAAGAAAGACACTATTTAGTCTGCCCAAACCTTGCTTATCTTCTAATGCGAGCTATTTATCCACATTGGAAGTTTGCAGGCCAACACATTTCAATGTCCAAGGCTCCATGCTGAGGGACACACTAATGTTTGGGGCAGTGGCTGCAGGGACACAATGGAGAAAGGTCACTGTCTAAGGTCTTACAACCATAGTATACTGAGGGGCCGCTAACCAGTAAACTCTCCGAAGCTATCTTTTTGAAATGCAATGAATATTGTAAATAACTATAAATGTAATGAGTAACGTGACTGAAAGAAACTGATTTAGTTTGGCACTTACGTAATCTCAATTTTGACCAGTCATATGGTGTAGTTTTATAAATTCTGTGAAACAAGTCTATAGTTGGAATAAAATCTTGCAGTGAAGGTTTAGTTTGAAGATGTCTCTTGTAAGAATGAATACATTGTAGAACAGATAGCATTATATTAAGCTGCATCATTAGATTAGCAAGGATTAATGGAATTAGGTCTGTCTGAACACAAAGAGACAGATGTGATAAGATGTACAGACAGATTGATTTTATGATGATCTAGTGCCAAAATATCAGGGATAAAACTATGATATAGGAGCAGAATTACACCATTTGATCACAACGGATATTTTTCTCAACCCCGTTCTCAAGCCTTTTCTCCATAACTCTTGATCTCCTTACTATCTCTATCTTAAATATCACTCTCTGGCTGAAGAAATTCCTCACTTCAGTTCCAAAGGGTTGTTCTTTCACCCTGAGCTTGTGCCCTTGGATCCTATCCTCTTCCCACTAATGGAAACATCTCCATGTTCATGCTATCCAGGCCCCTCAGTATTCTGTAGTTTCAATCAGGTCCCCTTTCATCCTTCTAAACTACATGGAGTATTAGACCCAAAGGCCTCATCTGCTTCTCATATGACAAGTCCTTCATCCTTGAGATCGTTCTTGTAAAGCACCTCAGACCCCCTCCAATGTCAGTACACCCTTCATTACATATGGGGTCTAAAACCGCTCACAATATTCCAAATGTGGTCTGAGCAGAGTCTTACAGCCTCAGCAATATATCCCTGCTCTGGTGTTCTAGCCCTCCTGAAATGAATGCCACCATTGCATTTGCCTTCCTAACTGCCATCTGAACCTACATGCTAACCTTAAGTCTCTGTGCTTCAGATTTCCAAAGCCTTTCCACATTTAGAAAATAGTTTACACCTCTATCCTTCCGACCAAAGTGTATAACCTCACACTTTCTCACATTGTATTCCTTCTGCCAACTCTTTGCCCACTCTCCTAGCCTATCCCAGCTTCCTCAACACTACCTGTCTCTCCACCTGTCTTTGTGTCATCTGCAAACTCAGCAACAATGCCCTCAGTTCCTTTGTCCAGATCATTTCTGCATAATATGAATAGTTGTGGTCCCAACACTGACCCCTGC